TGAGCAATAGGGAGCCATCCCTTAACCGCACCCGGCCATCGATCAGCCTCCCATTGTATCTGTACCAGATAGAAATTCCTCCGGTACAGCTATTGAAGGCTTCATGAACTATCTGATCGAAATAGATCTTAAATAATGTGGGAGCCAGAGGACATCCCTGTCGCACCCCAAGGTGTACAGGGAATGGCTCTGACTCCCGACCACGTAGTTTTACCCGGGCTCGCTTACCATCATGAAGATTCTTAATGATCGCGAGCAGTGGGTCAAGGACTCCGAAAGCACAAAGAACAACCCAGAGCCCAGGCCTACTGATGGTATCATAGGCCTTGACCAGGTCAATAAAACAGAGATGTAGGTCTTGTTGGAATTCCCTACACCTCTGCTGTAGCAGACGGACAGAAAATATGGCATCTGTGCAGGACCGCCCTTTCCTGAAACCACATTGTGGCTCCACAAGCCTCTCCTCAGTGTACCTGGCAAGGCGGTGTTGAATAATCCTTGCCAGGACCTTACCCGGCACACTGAGGAGTGAGATGCCCCTGTAGTCGTTACAGTCTGTGCGGTCCCCCTTCTTAAAGAGCGGGACCACCAGGGCATCCTTCCAGTCCTGCGGAACCTGTCCAGTGGTCCAGACTGTTGTTATGATGTCATGTAGGGAAGTCTGTGTACAAATGCCACCCTCCCTCAGCATTTCGCTTGGGAGATCATCTCTGCCCGGTGCCTTTCCTGGTCTCAGACTCCGGATCGCCTTCAGTACTTCCTCAACAGATGGCACCTCAGCCAGCCACTCACAGGGGGTGACTTCTTCCAATATTTGAGGCACCGCAGCCTTAGCAGGGTCATCCTCACTTTGTGCCACGATGTTTTCCTGGCTGAGGGATTTTCCCTCCCCCAGGACCTCACAGAAATGCTCAACAAATCTGCAAACCTGTTCCTGGGGGTCGGAGATTGGATCACCGTTTTTTCCCCTAATGATGGTAATAGGTGTGGCGCTGCAGGTTACTTTTTTATGGAGTTAAATAGAGATTTGTGATCGCGGGCCAGAGGCATACTCCATCTCCTCAGCAACCCGCGACCACCACCCATTCTCTGATGTGGGATCCTACGCACACAGATATGTACACAGAGATACAGCATTGTGTACTGTGTGTGTGTACTGTGTGTGTGTACTGTGTGTGTGTACTGTGTGTACTGTGTGTGTGTACTGTGTGTACTGTGTTAGTGTGTACTGTGATAGTGTGTACTGTGTGTGTGTACTGTGTTAGTGTGTACTGTGATAGTGTGTACTGTGTGTGTGTACTGTGTGTGTGTACTGTGTGTACTGTGTGTGTGTACTGTGTGTACTGTGTGTACTGTGTGTGTACTGTGTGTACTGTGTGTACTGTGTGTGTGTACTGTGATAGTGTGTACTGTGTGTGTGTACTGTGTGTACTGTGTGTGTACTGTGTGTACTGTGTGTGTGTACTGTGTGTACTGTGTGTATGTGTACTGTGTGTGTGTACTGTGTGTGTGTACTGTGTAAGTGTGTACTGTGATAGTGTGTACTGTGTGTGTGTACTGTGTGTGTGTGTACTATGTGTGTGTGTACTGTGTGTACTGTGTGTGTGTGTACTGTGTGTATGTGTACTGTGTGTGTGTACTGTGTGTATTGTGTGTGTGTGTACTGTGAGTGTGTACTGTGTGTACTGTGTTAGTGTGTACTGTATGTACTGTGTGTACTGTGTGTACTGTGTGTGTACTGTGTGTACTGTGTGTACTGCATGTACTGTGTGTACTGTGTGTACTGTGTTAGTGTGTACTGTATGTACTGTGTGTACTGTGTTAGTGTGTACTGTATGTACAGTGTGTATTGCGCACGTTAGCCTGTGGGTTGGGTGGCATGAAGCCAGGGAGACGTGGAGCGTGTTGCCGTCCGGCGTAAACACGGGGGCACGGCGGCGACACCAGGCCGGTCGCACGGCCTGGCGCCCCGCTCGGCGGTGGCCGCGAGCGGGCCGCCCGCCCGGCGCTGCCGCCGGCGGGCCCCTCGTCACTCGGCGGCCGCCGCCCGGTCCTCGCCGCCCGCACCGCCGCCGCCGGCGACGTCGTCCGCCGCGGCCTCCGGCGCCACGACCCACCCGTCCGGGCGCGCCCACCCCCGCTCCTCCGCCGGCGCGGAACGCTCGCCGTGGCGCTTGAAGCCCGCGGGCGACCGGTCGCCCGCGGCGGTTTCGGCCGAGGGGCCGCCGGCAACCGCGGCGGGCGCCCCACCGTCGCCGGTGCCGCCGCCGCCGCCGCCGTCCGCGGCGGTTGCGGCCGCCCCGGCGTCTTCTTCTCCCGTGAGCTCGCGCAGCTGCTGCTCCAGGTGGGTGGTGCGGCGGGCGAGGATGAGGCTGACTCGCCGCTGGTGGGCCAGGGCTTCCTCTTTGTCGGAGAGCTGCGGGTGGTGCGGGTGGTGCGGGTGGTGCGGGTGACGTTAATACCACGACGTGTGGGAGCCCCTCGCCGTGACACGCGTGGTTGTGGTCATTGGAAATAAAAGGCAATCTTGTTGGGCGTTTTTATTTTCGTTCACCAGGCGTAAGGGGACACCCCAACTGAGCCGTGCGGCTCTTTTCTCAGAGGCAGCGCAACTCGGTGGACTTGTGATCATCATCGCGTGGAAATCTATAGCCGCGGTCAAATAGCTCTATAAACACGTGACGTTGATCACTAAGTGTGTGTGGGGGAGGGGGGGGGAACGGAGGACCCGGGAAAAAAATCCACGTGGTCGCAGGGAGAGAGAGACGCAAACTCCAAATATACAGCAGCAGGCGTCGTCAGGGTCGGGATTGAACCCACGACCTCCTGTACACCAGGCGAGGTAGTCAACATCTCATAGCCACTGTGATGATGATGACGAGAGAGACACGCAGACTCCAAATATACAGCAGCAGCAGGCGTCGTCAGGGTCGGGATCGAACCCTGACAGCAGTGGTGTGGGTGGTGGGTGTAGGGGTGGGTGTAGTGGTGTGGGTGGTGGGTGGGTGGTGGTTGTATGGGTGTGGGTGGTGGGGGTGTGGGTGGTGGGTGTAGTGGGGAGGGTGGGTGGTGGGTGGGTGTAGTGGTGTGGGTGGTGGGGGTGGATGGGTGGATGTAGTGGGGTGGGTGGTGGTGGGTGGGTGGGTGGTGGATGTAGTGGGGAGGGTGGGTGGGTGGTAGCGGTGTGGGTGGTGGGGGTGTGGGTGGTGGGTGTAGTGGTGTGGGTGGTGGGGTGGATGTAGGGGTGTGGGTGGTGGTGGGTGTAGTGGGGAGGGTGGTGGGTGGGTGGGTGGGTGGTAGGTGTAGTGAGGATGGTGGGTGGTGGTGGTGGTGGGTGGGTGGTAGCGGTGTGGGCGGCGTGGTGGGGGGGTGTGGGTGGCGGCACCATCTCAGCGAGCAGCTCCACGGGGTCCGGAGCGGCCGCCGCGTCGCCGTTGCGCTCCGCCATCGTCGCCGCCGTCTTCACCGCGGGCGCCAGGCGGCGTGCGATGCGCCCCACGAGGCGAGCGGACACCGAGGCCCCGGGGTGGCCCTCGCCGCCGGCGGCGCCGCCCGCCGGCCACGCCGTGGTAGCCGCGGCGCCCACGGAGGCGCCGTCTGCTGTGCCGGGGAAAGGGGAGGGGGAAGGGGTGGTGGTGGTGCCAACGATAGCGGCGGCGTCGACGATCGGCACGGTTGGCTATGCACGGCGCACATCCAACAACTACTAAAGTAAGTTTTTAGGTAGTCAACATCTCCTAGCCACCGTGATGATGATGATGAGAGAGAGAGAGACACGCAGACTCCAAATATACAACAGCAGGCGTCGTCAGGGTCGGGATTGAACCCACGACCTCCTGTACACCAGGCGAGGTAGTCAACATCTCCTAGCCACCGTGATGATGATGAGAGAGAGAGACACGCAGACTCCACATATACAGCAGCAGGCGTCAGTGGTCAGGATTGAACCCACGACCTGCTGTATACCAGGCGAGGTAGTTAACATTTCCTAGCCACCGTGATGATGATGAGAGAGACACGCAGACTCCAAATATACAGCAGCAGCAGGCATCGTCAGGGTCAGGATCGAACCCACGACCTCCTGTACACCAGGCGAGGTAGTCAACATCTCCTGGCCACCGTGCCGCCCGCTTGATTATAGCGGTGATAATTTTGACAATTGCTTACCCAGGAAGCGCCGAAGTGAGTTTCCGTTCTGGTTGCTATCAGCAGGGTGTCCATGCTTAGTACACGGAGGCCAACTCCGAGCGTGTGTTGCACATCACGTGAACAGTCAAGCTACTGTACATACTCTCTGGTTCTTTCGGCAAAGTCGCGTAGATAGAAGAAAAAATAATGAAAGAAACACGACGTTTCGGTGGCAACACAAGCGTCCATCATCAGGTGAGGAAGAAACCAACCCCCCTCCCCCTCTCCCCGTGAACTCCTGCAGCCACGACTCCACAAACCCCTCCACCCCCGTGCCTATATAAAGCCACAACAACAGATCGTTCTTCCTCACCTGATGACGGACACTTGTGTTGCCACCGAAACGTCGTGTTTATTTTATTATATTTTTTTATTCTACCCACGTGACTTTACCTAAAGAACCAGAGAGCGTGGACTCCTGCAGCCACGAAAGCTTCAAATGAATCATCAAGAATCAGGTTCAATAATAATTATTATTATTATTGTTGTTGTTCAGCCCGCCCCACTCGCGACCCCGACAGCAACGCGCCGCCCGCCGCCCAGACTCGCGCCAACAAGCGCCAGCAGCAGCAGCAGCAGCGGCGGCGGGCGGCGATCGACACGACGGGCGCCACCCCCCACCGGGCAAACGCGAGGCCCCCGGGGGGGCGACGACGCCCTCCGGGTCAGCCGTCGATCCTCGGCTTCTTTGCCAAGGCTAGCCACCCGCCCAAACCCCCCCCCCCCCCCCCCCCCCCCGGGCAGTGAATTTCACGTGTTTGTGTAATTTTTCAACTTTTTACGAAACTTTAATGTCCCCCGAGTGGCTCTCGACGAGGCCAATCGACCGACCGCTCGCTTTGTTGTCGGCAAGGCGGCGAGACCCGTGTCGCCACGCGGTTTGCCCCACCACGGGGGCTAGCGATGCCACCCCGGGGTCCCGCCAACTCCACCAAATCACCATTTGCAGCTCTGTAAAATATCGAACTTACCGCCGGCGAGCCCGACGGTCCGCGGCTACGAGCAGGCCGCGCCGATACCCGCGCGAGCATCGGCGCGGCCCGTACCGTGAGCGGGGACGGCGGGGTGGTTGTGTCGGAGCGGGCGGCCGGCGGCGGAGGGCGGCCGCTGGCGCGGGGCCATGCGGGCAGCGAAGGTGGCGGCTCGGCACAGCTGCTGCTCGAAGGCGATGCGGTAGGCGTCCCCGACGGCGACGCTCTCCTCCTCGCGCCTCCGCAGCTCCTCCAGCTGACAGCGCCGTGACGCGGGCGCCGGGGGGTAGCGCGGGCAGAGAGAGGGGGGCAGAGCTCACACGTGTGGCACGGACGGATTGTGGTGGTGGTGGTGGTGGGTGGTGCACCGGGCCGCTCGTCTGGCCAGCCCACGGCACCTGCTGGATTCTGACCCGGGACCTTCTCCTGCCGGCGGCACTTCACGTGGCAGCCTCGAGGTGCACCTGGCCTGGCACAGGCGCCGTGGTGACGTCACCATCACTTAGCGGTCGAATGGCGGCTGTTGGTATTGGTGGTGTTGGTGGGGGTGATGGTGGTGGTGGTGATGGTGGTGGTGTTGGTGGTGGTGGTGATGATGGTGGTGGTGATGGTGGTGGTTTTGGTGGTGTTGGTGGTGGTGTTGGTGGTGTTGGTAGTGGTGTTGGTGCTGGTGGTGTTGGTGGTGGTGGTGTTGGTGGTGGTGGTAATGGTGGTGATGGTGGTGGTGGTGATGGTGGTGTTGATGGTGGTGGTGTTGATGGTGTTGTTGGTGGTGATGATGGTGGTGATGGTGGTGGTGTTGGTGGTGGTGTTGGTGGTGTTGGTGGTGGTGTTGGTGGTGTTGGTGGTGGTGGTGATGGTGGTGGTGATGGTGGTGTTGATGGTGGTGGTGTTGATGGTGTTGTTGGTGGTGATGATAGTGGTGGTGTTGGTGGTGTTGGTGGTGGTGTTGGTGGTGTTGGTGGTGATGGTGGTGGTGATGGTGGTGTTGATGGTGGTGGTGTTGATGGTGTTGTTGGTGGTGATGATAGTGGTGGTGTTGGTGGTGGTGGTGGTGTTGATGGTGGTGATGGTGGTGATGATAGTGGTGGTGTTGGTGGTGGTGTTGGTGGTGGTGGTGATGGTGGTGATGGTGGTGGTGATGGTGGTGGTGTTGATGGTGTTGTTGGTGGTGATGATAGTGGTGGTGGTGGTGGTGTTGGTGGTGGTGGTGATGGTGGTGTTGGTGGTGGTGTTGGTGGTGGTGTTGGTGGTGGTGGTGATGGTGGTGGTGTTGATGGTGTTGTTGGTGGTGATGATAGTGGTGGTGGTGGTGGTGTTGGTGGTGGTGGTGATGGTGGTGTTGATGGTGGTGTTGGTGGTGGTGTTGGTGGTGGTGTTGGTGGTGGTGATGGTGGTGGTGTTGGTGGTGGTGTTGGTGGTGGTGTTGATGGTGGTGTTGATGGTGTTGTTGGTGGTGATGATAGTGGTGGTGGTGGTGTTGGTGGTGGTGGTGATGGTGGTGTTGGTGGTGGTGTTGGTGGTGGTGTTGGTGGTGGTGTTGGTGGTGGTGTTGGTGGTGGTGTTGATGGTGGTGTTGGTGGTGGTGTTGGTGGTGGTGTTGGTGGTGGTGATGGTGGTGGTGTTGGTGGTGGTGGTGATGGTGGTGGTGTTGGTGGTGGTGGTGATGGTGGTGCGTCAAGTCAAAATCAGCTGTCGTGATGTTCCAAGCGACGGGCGTCGCGTCGAATTTTGATCCACAGCCTCGGATTTTTGTTTTGTTTTTCCCCACGAGTTTTCTGGCGCGTTACTCGGCACCGGCGCCCCCGCCCCACCCCCACCCCCCACCCTCAACCCCCCCCCCCACCCCCACCCCCCACCCCCCCACCCCCCCACCCCACCCCCCACCCCCAACCCCCCCCACCCCCCACCCCACCCCCCACCCCCCCCCACCCCCCCCCACCTGGCTCTTCAGCTCCACAATTTTGCGCCGAGCGGCGGCGGTGGCCCAGGCGCAGGCGCAGGGCTCCCCCGTCGCCAGCGCCGGCACCGCCGTCCCCCCGCATCGGCAAGCGCCCAACACCGCCAGCTGCAAAGACAAAAGGTCACCACCGTCACCACCGTCACCACCGTCACCACCATCACCACCATCACCACAGACACCACCGTCACCACCGTCACAGTCACCGCCATCACCACCGTCACCACCGTCACCGTCATCGTCACCGTCACAGTCACCATCACCACCGTCACAGTCACCGCCATCACCACAGTCACCACAGACACCACCGTCACCACCGTCACCGCCATCACCACAGACACCACCGTCACCACCGTCACCACCGTCACAGTCACCGCCATCACCACCGTCACCACCGTCACCACCGTCACCGCCGTCACCACCGTCACCGTCACCACCGTCACCGTCACCACCATCGCCACCGTCACCGTCACCGCCGTCACCACCATCACCGCCGTCACCACCGTCACCACCGTCACCACCGTCATCACCGTCACCACCGTCACCACCGTCACCACCATCGCCACCGTCACCGTCACCGCCGTCACCACCATCACCGCCGTCACCACCGTCACCACCGTCACCACCGTCATCACCGTCACCACCGTCACCGTCACCGTCACCACCGTCACCACCGTCACCACCGTCACCACCGTCACCGTCACCACCACCGTCACCGTCACCGCCGTCACCACCGTCACCACCGTCACCGTCACCACCACCGTCACCGTCACCACCGTCACCGTCACCGTCACCGCCGTCACCGTCACCACCATCGCCACCGTCACCGTCACCGCCGTCACCACCATCACCGCCGTCACCACCGTCACCACCGTCACCACCGTCATCACCGTCACCACCGTCACCGTCACCGTCACCACCGTCACCACCGTCACCACCGTCACCACCGTCACCGTCACCACCACCGTCACCGTCACCACCACCGTCACCGTCACCACCGTCACCGTCACCGTCACCACCGTCACCGCCGTCACCGTCACCACCATCGCCACCGTCACCGTCACCGTCACCACCGTCACCACCGTCACCACCGTCACTGTCACCACCACCGTCACCGTCACCGCCGTCACCACCGTCACCACCGTCACCGTCACCACCACCGTCACCGTCACCACCGTCACCGTCACCGTCACCACCGTCACCGCCGTCACCGTCACCACCATCGCCACCGTCACCGTCACCGCCGTCACCACCATCACCGCCGTCACCACCGTCACCACCGTCACCACCGTCACCACCGTCACCGTCACCGTCACCACCGTCACCACCGTCACCACCGTCACCGTCACCACCACCGTCACCGTCACCACCACCGTCACCGTCACCACCGTCACCGTCACCGTCACCACCGTCACCGCCGTCACCGTCACCACCATCACCGCCGTCACCACCATCACCGCCGTCACCACCGTCACCACCGTCACCACCGTCATCACCGTCACCACCGTCACCGTCACCGTCACCACCGTCACCACCGTCACCACCGTCACCGTCACCACCACCGTCACCGTCACCGCCGTCACCACCGTCACCACCGTCACCGTCACCACCACCGTCACCGTCACCACCGTCACCACCGTCACCACCGTCACCACCGTCACCACCGTCACCGTCACCACCGTCACCGCCGTCACCACCGTCACCGTGAGTGGGTGGGTGGGTGGGGGGGGTATGGGTGGCACCACGGCCCACCCAGTGGTGGTGTTTACTCCATATCGCACTGGAAACACAGATACCCATAGAGATACATAGAGATACATAGACATACATAGAGATACAGAGAGACCCATAGAGATACAGAGAGACCCATAGAGATACAGAGAGACCCATAGAGATACATAGAGACCCATAGAGATACATAGAGATACATAGACATACATAGAGATACAGAGAGACCCATAGAGATACAGAGAGACCCATAGAGATACAGAGAGACCCATAGAGATACAGAGAGACCCATAGAGATACATAGAGATACATAGACATACATAGAGATACAGAGAGACCCATAGAGATACAGAGAGACCCATAGAGATACAGAGAGACCCATAGAGATACAGAGAGACCCATAGAGATACATAGAGATACATAGACATACATAGAGATACAGAGAGACCCTAGAGATACAGAGAGATACAGAGATACAGAGACCCATAGAGATACAGAGACCCATAAAGATAGAGACCCATAGAGATACAGAAAGATACATAGAGACCCATAGAGATACAGAGAGATACGTAGAGACCCATAGAGATACAGAGAGATACACAGAGATCAATAGAGATCGAAAGAGATACATAGAGACCCATAGAGATAGAGAGATACATAGAGACCCATAGAGATACAGAGAGATACATAGAGACCAATAGAGATACAGAGAGACCCATAGAGATACACAGAGATACAGAGAGATACACAGATACCCATAGAGATACAGAGAGACCCATAGAGATACATAGAGATACAGAGAGATACACAGAGACCAATAGAGATACATAGAGACCCATAGAGATAGAGAGAGACCCATAGAGATACAGAGAGACCCATAGAGATACAGAGAGACACATAGAGATACATAGAGATACAGAGAGACCCATAGAGATACATAGAGATACAGAGAGACCCATAGAGATACAGAGATACCCATAGAGATACAGAGAGACCCACAGAGATACAAAGAGATACATAGAGACCCATAAAGATACAGAGAGACACATAGAGACCCATAGAGATACAGAGAGATACATAGATACACATAGAGATACAGAGAGATACACAGAGATACAGAGAGATACACAGAGACCCACAGAGATACAGAGAGATACATAGAGACCCATAGAGATACAGAGAGATAAATAGAGACCCACAGAGATACCGAGAGATACAGAGAGATACATAGAGACCCATAGAGATACAGAGAGATACATAGAGACCCATAGAGATACAGAGAGATACATAGAGACCCATAGAGATACAGAAAGATACACAGAAACCCATAGAGATACAGAGAGATACACAGAGACCCTTAGAGATAGAGAGATACATAGAGACTCATAGAGATACAGAGAGATACATAGAGACCCATAGAGATACATAGAGATGCATAGAGATACACAGAGACCCATAGAGATACAGGGAGATACACAGAGACCCATAGAGGTACAGAGAGATACACAGAGACCCATATAGATACAGAAAGATAAAAAGAGACCCATAGAGATACACGGAGACCCATAGAGATAGAGAGCGACACATAGAGATACAGAGAGATACATAGAGACCCACAGAGATACAGAGAGACCCATAGAGATACAGAGAGACCCATAGAGATACAGAAAGATACATAGAGACCCATAGAGATACAAAAATATACATAGAGACCCATAGAGATACACAGAGACCCATAGAGATACAGAGAGACCCATAGAGATACAGAGAGATACATAGATACCCACAGAGATACAGAGAGACCCATAGAGATACAGAGAGACCCATAGAGATACAGAAAGATACATAGAGACCCATAGAGATACAGAGAGATACACAGAGACCCATAGAGATAGAGAGCGATACACAGAGATACAGAAAGATACATAGATACCCATAGAGATACACAGAGACCCACAGAGATACAGAGAGATACATAGAGACCCATAGAGATACAGAGAGATACATAGAGACCCATAGAGATACAGAGAGATACATAGAGACCCACAGAGATACAGAGAGACCCATAGAGATACAGAAAGATACATAGAGACCCATAGAGATACAGAGAGATACACAGAGACCCATAGAGATAGAGAGAGATACACAGAGACCCATAGAGATACAGAGAGACCCATAGAGATACAGAAAGATACATAGAGACCCACAGAGACCCACAGAGACCCACAGATCACCCACAGAGCACCCACAGAGACCCACAGAGACCCACAGAGACCCACAGACACCCATGGAGACCCACAGAGACCCACAGAAGGCACATATCACACACAAAGACCCACAGAGACTCACAGAGACTCACAGAGACTCACAGAGACCCACAGCGACCAACAGATCACCCACAGATACACACGGAGACCCACAGAGCACACACAGAGACACACAGAAACCCACGTAGCGTGCACAGAGACCCACAGAGATCCACAGAGACCCACACAGAGACCCACAGAGACCCACCGAGACCCACGCAGCGTGCACAGAGACCCACAGAGACCCACAGAGACCCACAGGTCACACACAGAGACCCACAGACCCACACCGAGACCCACAGAGACCCACAGAGACCCACACAGAGACCCACAGAGACCCACGCAGCGCGCACAGAGACCGACGCAGCGCGCACAGAGACCCACAGAGACCCACAGAGACCCACAGGTCACACACAGAGACCCACAGGTCACACACAGAGACCCACATAGACCCATAGATCACCCACAGAGCACCCACAGAGACCCACAGAGACCCACAGAGACCCACAGAGACCCACAGACACCCATGGAGACTCACAGAGACCCACAGCGACCAACAGATCACCCAGAGATACACACGGAGACCCACAGAGCACACACAGAGACCCACAGAGACACACAGAAACCCACGTAGCGTGCACAGAGACCCACAGAGATCCACAGAGACCCACACAGAGACCCACAGAGACCCACCGAGACCCACAGAGACCCACAGAGACACACAGAGACCCACGCAGCGCGCACAGAGACCCACAGAGACACACAGAGACCCACAGAGACCCACAGAGACCCACAGAGACCCACAGGTCACACACAGAGACCCACAGACCCACACCGAGACCCACAGAGACCCACAGAGACCCACACAGAGACCCACAGGTCACACACAGAGACCCACAGAGACCCACAGAGACCCACAGGTCACACACAGAGACCCACAGAGACCCACAGAGACCCACACAGAGACCCACAGGTCACACACAGAGACCCACAGAGACCCACAGAGACCCACAGAGACCCACAGGTCACCCACAGAGACCCACAGAGACCCACAGAGACCCACAGGTCACACACAGAGACCCACAGAGACCCACACAGAGACCCACAGGTCACACACAGAGACCCACAGAGACCCACAGAGACCCACAGAGACCCACAGGTCACACACAGAGACCCACAGAGACCCACAGAGACCCACAGAGACCCACAGAGACCCACAGGTCACACACAGAGACCCACAGGTCACACACAGAGACCCACAGAGACCCACAGAGACCCACACAGAGACCCACACAGAGACCCACAGAGACCCACAGGTCACCCACAGAGACCCACAGAGACCCACAGAGACCCACAGGTCACACACAGAGACCCACAGGTCACACACAGAGACCCACAGGTCACACACAGAGACCCACAGAGACCCACAGAGACCGACAGAGACCCACAGAGACCCACAGGTCACACACAGAGACCCACAGAGACCCACAGAGACCCACAGAGACCCACAGGTCACACACAGAGACCCACAGGTCACACACAGAGACCCACAGGTCACACACAGAGACCCACAGGTCACACACAGAGACCCACAGAGACCCACAGAGACCCACAGGTCACACACAGAGACCCACAGAGACCCACAGAGACCCACAGGTCACACACAGAGACCCACAGAGACCCACAGAGACCCACAGAGACCCACAGGTCACACACAGAGACCCACAGGTCACACACAGAGACCCACAGAGACCCACAGAGACCCACACAGAGACCCACAGAGACCCACAGGTCACACACAGAGACCCACAGGTCACACACAGAGACCCACAGGTCACACACAGAGACCCACAGGTCACACACAGAGACCCACAGAGACCCATAGAGACCCACAGAGACCCACAGAGACCCACAGGTCACACACAGAGACCCACAGAGACCCACAGAGACCCACAGAGACCCACAGAGACCCACAGGTCACACACAGAGACCCACAGGTCACACACAGAGACCCCAGAGACCCACAGAGACCCACAGAGACCGACAGAGACCCCAGAGACCCACAGGTAACCACAGAGACCCACAGAGACCCACAGAGACCCACAGAGACCCACAGGTCACACCCAGAGACCCACAGGTCACACACAGAGACCCACAGGTCACACACAGAGACCCACAGGTCACACACAGAGACCCACAGAGACCCACAGAGACCCACAGGTCACACACAGAGACCCACAGAGACCCACAGAGACCCACAGGTCACACACAGAGACCCACAGAGACCCACAGAGACCCACAGAGACCCACAGGTCACACACAGAGACCCACAGGTCACACACAGAGACCCACAGAGACCCACAGAGACCCACACAGAGACCCACAGAGACCCACAGGTCACACACAGAGACCCACAGGTCACACACAGAGACCCACAGGTCACACACAGAGACCCACAGGTCACACACAGAGACCCACAGAGACCCATAGAGACCCACAGAGACCCACAGAGACCCACAGGTCACACACAGAGACCCACAGAGACCCACAGAGACCCACACAGAGACCCACAGAGACCCACACAGAGACCCACAGGTCACACACAGAGACCCACAGAGACCCACAGAGACCCACAGAGACCCACAGAGACCCACAGGTCACACACAGAGACCCACAGAGACCCACAGAGACCCACACAGAGACCCACAGAGACCCACACAGAGACCCACAGGTCACACACAGAGACCCACAGAGACCCACAGAGACCCACAGGTCACCCACAGAGACCCACAGAGACCCACAGAGACCCACAGGTCACACACAGAGACCCACAGAGACCCACACAGAGACCCACAGGTCACACACAGAGACCCACAGAGACCCACAGAGACCCACAGAGACCCACAGGTCACACACAGAGACCCACAGAGACCCACAGAGACCCACAGAGACCCACAGGTCACACACAGAGACCCACAGGTCACACACAGAGACCCACAGAGACCCACAGAGACCCACACAGAGACCCACACAGAGACCCACAGAGACCCACAGGTCACCCACAGAGACCCACAGAGACCCACAGAGACCCACAGGTCACACACAGAGACCCACAGGTCACACACAGAGACCCACAGGTCACACACAGAGACCCACAGAGACCCACAGAGACCCACAGAGACCCACAGGTCACACACAGAGACCCACAGAGACCCACAGAGACCCACAGAGACCCACAGGTCACACACAGAGACCCACAGGTCACACACAGAGACCCACAGGTCACACACAGAGACCCACAGGTCACACACAGAGACCCACAGAGACCCACAGAGACCCACAGGTCACACACAGAGACCCACAGAGACCCACAGAGACCCACAGGTCACACACAGAGACCCACAGAGACCCACAGAGACCCACAGAGACCCACAGGTCACACACAGAGACCCACAGGTCACACACAGAGACCCACAGAGACCCACAGAGACCCACACAGAGACCCACAGAGACCCACAGGTCACACACAGAGACCCACAGGTCACACACAGAGACCCACAGGTCACACACAGAGACCCACAGAGACCCACAGAGACCCACAGAGACCCACAGAGACCCACAGGTCACACACAGAGACCCACAGAGACCCACAGAGACCCACACAGAGACCCACACAGAGACCCACACAGAGACCCACAGGTCACACACAGAGACCCACAGAGACCCACAGAGACCCACAGAGACCCACAGAGACCCACAGGTCACACACAGAGACCCACAGAGACCCACAGAGACCCACACAGAGACCCACAGAGACCCACACAGAGACCCACAGGTCACACACAGAGACCCACAGGTCACACACAGAGACCCACAGAGACCCACAGAGACCCACAGAGACCCACACAGAGACCCACAGAGACCCACAGAGACCCACAGGTCACACACAGAGACCCACAGAGACCCACAGAGACCCACAGAGACCCACACAGAGACCCACAGGTCACACACAGAGACCCACAGAGACCCACACCGAGACCCACAGAGACCCACAGGTCACACACAGAGACCCACAGAGACCCACAGAGACCCACACAGAGACCCACAGGTCACACACAGAGACCCACAGAGACCCACACCGAGACCCACAGAGACCCACAGGTCACACACAGAGACCCACAGAGACCCACAGAGACCCACAGGTCACACACAGAGACCCACAGAGACCCACAGAGACCCACAGAGACCCACAGAGACCCACAGAGACCCACAGGTCACACACAGAGACCCACAGAGACCCACAGAGACCCACAGAGACCCACAGGTCACACGCCCAGCACCTCCAGGGGGGTGACCTCTGAGCGACCGCCGGGCCGCTGACCCAGGCCGGCGCAGGAGCCGAGCAGCGTCCGCTTGTCCCTGACGCTCAGCGAGGCCTGCAGCTCGTCACGCTGCCTCTTCAGCCCTGCCACGCGGCGGCGGTGGTGGCGGAGGTGGTGGAGGGGGCGGTGGGACAGAGACAAAGATTGACACGTGGTGCTGGTGGTGGTGGGACAGAGACAAAGATTGACACGTGGTGGTGGTGGTGGTGGGACAGAGACAAAGATTGACACGTGGTGGTGGTGGTGGTGGAGGAGGTGGCGGTGGGACAGAGACAAAGATTGACACGTGGTGGTGGTGGTGGTGGGACAGAGACAAAGATTGACACGTGGTGGTGGTGGTGGTGGCGGAGGTGGCGGTGGGACAGAGACAAAGATTGACACGTGGTGGTGGTGGCGGTGGGACAGAGACAAAGATTGACACGTGGTGCTGGTGGTGGCGGAGGTGGCGGTGGGACAGAGACAAAGATTGACACGTGGTGCTGGTGGTGGTGGTGGTGGCGGTGGGACAGAGACAAAGATTGACACGTGGTGGTGGTGGCGGTGGGACAGAGACAAAGATTGACACGTGGTGCTGGTGGTGGAGGGGGCGGTGGGACAGAGACAAAGATTGACACGTGGTGCTGGTGGTGGTAGAGGGGGCGGTGGGACAGAGACAAAGATTGACACGTGGTGGTGGTGGTGGTGGTGCTGGTGGTGGTGGTGGCGGTGAGACAGAGACAAAGATTGACACGTGGTGCTGGTGGTGGTGGTGGAGGGGGCGGTGGGATAGAGACAAATATTGACACGTGGTGCTGGTGCTGGTGGTGGTGGAGGGGGCGGTGGGACAGAGACAAAGATTGACACGTGGTGGTGGTGGTGGTGCTGGTGGTGGTGGTGGAGGGGGCGGTGGGACAGAGACAAAGATTGACACGTGGTGGTGGTGGTGCTGGTGGTGGTGGTGGTGGAGGGGGCGGTGGGACAGAGACAAAGATTGACACGTGGTGGTGGTGCTGGTGCTGGTGGCGGTGGGACAGAGACAAAGATTTACACGTGGTGCTGGTGGTGGTGGCGGTGGGACAGAGACAAAGTTTGACACGTGGTGGTGGTGCTGGTGGTGTTGAGAGGCTTTCGCGGTTTTCGTTGGGCTAGATCCAGCGCCGGATTGAGCGAAGTGCGGGCCTCTAGCACGTGGGGCCCCAAAATGAAAATATAAACACGTAAATATTTTTCGACACAACATATTTTGCTTGCACAGAAGAGCAATTGTATTATCATCTGTTTAACACGTAGGCTTTCGCGACCAACATCATCGATAGCAGAGGTTTTTTGGGTTAGATCGCGTAAGTATATAAATGTTGCGTCGTTTAAACCACGCCACCACCCGACACGGCCAACTAGTGAGGGTTGTCGCGTAAGAATTGGCCACGTTCTGTCCACGTGACAACCCTTACTAGTTGGCTGTGTCGGGTGGTGGCGTGGTTTAAACGACACTTTTACTCGTAAGTTTACGCTATCTAACCCAAAAAAACCTCCATTATCGATGTATTTTTTCAATTGCTACACAGCCAGAAAAATACAACAAACCTTAAACACCCCGTCGTTCATAAAAGTCGAAGGCGGTATAGTACTAGAGTGATAGAGCAAGTGCAGAATCACCGGACCGGAATTGATAGCTTGAAAGCATTTAGCGCGGGGGCCCTTGAAAGTGCGGGAGCCCGTAGCTACTACACGTGTAGTAGTAGTAGCTACTTGTGCTACTGCACATGTGTAGTAGCACAAGTAGCTACTACACATGCAGTAGCACAAGTACTACTTATGTTGTAGCTACTACACATGTAGCTACTACTACACATGTAGTAGTAGCTACTTGTGCTACTGCATGTGTACTAGCACAAGTAGCTACTACACAAGTAGCTACTACACAAGTAGCTACTACACATGTAGTAGTAGCTACTTGTGCTACTGCATGTGTAGTAGCACAAGTACTACACAAGTAGCTACTACACATGTAGTAGTAGCTACTTGTGCTACTGCATGTGTAGTAGCACAAGTAGCTACTACTTATGTCGTAGCTACTATATATGTAGCTACTACACATGTAGCTACTACTTATGTTGTAGCTACTACACATGTAGCTACTACTAATGTTGTAGCTACTACACATGTAGCTACGACTACACATGTAGCTACTATGTGTGTAGCTACTACTACTATGTGTGTAGCTACTTGTGCGACTGGGATAATCCGGCACTGGTTCGATCGCGTGAACGTGAAGGTTGTGTCGTGAAACCCGCCACCACCCGGCACAGCCAATTAGTAAGGGGGTTTGTCACGTAAACAAAACGTGGCCCAACTGGTCAACTAGCACAACACACCGGTGGTGTTGGAGTGCAACCCCATTGCGTTTACAATTTGAGTACGACGTTTCGCCAGTAATGATCAGGGGCACGGGTTGACCAATAAGGTCTGAGCCGGTCTGTAATAAGTCAGGCGCCGAGAGAGGGGTTGACAGGTATGCAGTACTGTAGTGTATAGTGTAGTGTATCATATAGCGTAGTGTATAGTGTAGTGTATAGGATGACCCTTGAGATTTATAAGGGAGGCACGGGGGTGGGTGGCCAACAAGGTCTGAGTTGGTCTGCGAACCCACGCATTGCGCAGCGCGGAAATGATCAACAATAAACATTCAGCCCATCGAAGTCCCGCTGGGCGCTTGAGGCCCAGAACCGATCCTTGCCGCAGCTTACCACCACCCCCCCTACACCTCCCCCCCCCACGGGGGGACCCCACAATCCCCCTTCCTTTCTACCCCCCCCCACTAACCCCCACCACCACGACCACCACTCCACCGTCCACGCCCTCTCGAACCCACAAGCACGCGCACGCAGTGATCCAGGAATGAACAACAGAAACGAATCCGGTTCGGCGTCCTGCGTCACGCGCAAGCGGCGGCAGTCACCGCGAGCCCCCAAAACTATGTCAAGGCTCCGCACTCGGGGAGCTGCGGTGAGCCCAGTCTGTTCGGGATGGGGAAAACACAACTCTGACGTCTCACCCACTCGCTCACTCACACTCCCAAACATTCACTCACACTCCCACTCACTCACACTCCCACCCACTCACACTCCCACACGATCACTCACACTCCCACTCACTCACACTCCCACACGATCACACTCCCACCCACTCACACTCCCACTCGCTCACTCACACTCCCAAACATTCACTCACACTCCCACTCGCTCACTCACACTCCCAAACATTCACTCACACTCCCACTCACTCACACTCCCACCCACTCACACTCCCACACGATCACTCACACTCCCACTCACTCACACTCCCACACGATCACACTCCTACACGATCACACTCCCACCCACTCACACTCCCACTCGCTCACTCACACTCCCAAACATTCACTCACACTCCCACTCACTCACACTCCCACTCGCTCACTCACACTCCCAAACATTCACTCACACTCCCACTCACTCACACTCCCACCCACTCACTCACACTCCCACCCACTCACTCACACTCCCACCCACTCACTCACACTCCCACACGATCACTCACACTCCCACACAATCACTCCCACTCACTCACACTCCCACACGATCACTCACACTCCCACCCGCTCACTCACACTCCCACCCACTCACTCTCCCACACAATCACTCACACCCACTCACTCACACTCCCACACAATCACTCACACTCCCACTCACTCACACTCCCAAACGATCACTCACACTCCCACCCACTCACTCACACTCCCACCCACTCACTCACACTCCCACCCACTCACACTCCCACACAATCACTCCCACTCACTCACACCCACTCACTCACACCCACTCACACTCCCACACGATCACTCACACTCCCACCCACTCACTCACACTCCCACACATTCACTCACACTCCCACCCACTCACTCACACTCCCACACAATCACTCACACTCCCACCCACTCACTCACACTCCCACACAATCATTCGCTCGGTCGCTCACTCACTCGCTCACTCACTCGCTCACTCACCCACTCACTCACACACTCACACAATCACTCGCTCGCCCACTCATTCATCACACTGCGGTCGCAACAATACACTCACCCACCCATTGTCCCACCCAATCACTCACTCACTCACACACCCACACACTCACTCACTCACACACTTACACACTCGCTCACTCACCCACCCACCCACACCCACAGAAACTCGCTCACTCACTCACACGCTCGCTCACTCACCCACCCACTCACTCACCCACTCACTCACCCACTCACTCACACATTCGCACACCCACACACTCACACCCCCACACACTCACACCCCCACACACTCGCTCACTCACACACCCACCCACACACTCACACACCCACACACTCAAACACCCACACATTCACACACCCACACACTCGCTCACTCAGACACTCGCTCACTCACTCACCCACTCACTCACAGTCCCACCCACTCACTCACCCACTCACTCACACACCCACACACTCACACACACTCACACACCCACGCACTCACACACCCACACACTCACATACCCACTCACTCGCTCACTCACCCACTCACACACCCACACACTCACACACCCACACACTCACACACCCACACACTCACATACCCACTCACTCACCCACTCACTCACCCACTCACTCACACACCCACACACCCACACACTCACACACCCACACACTCACACACTCACTCACTCACCCACACACTCACACACCCACACACTCACCCACTCACCCACTCACACACCCACTCACACACCCACACACTCACACACCCACTCACACACCCACACACTCACTCACACACCCACACACTCACACACCCGCTCTCCCACACGCTCACTCACCGACTTGACCCACCCATCCACCCGCCCGCTCGCCACACACACCGCTGGTGCGGACATCGGCGCCGCCTTACCCACGTTACCTTACCCACGTTACCTTACCCACGTTACTTTACCCACGTTACCTTACCCACGTTACCTTACCCACGTTACCTTACCCACGTTACTTTACCCACGTTACTTTACCCACGTTACTTTACCCACGTTACCTTACTCACGTTACTTTACCCACGTTACCTTACACACGTTACTTTACCCACGTTACCTTACCCACGTCTTACCCACGTCTTACCCACGTTACCTTACCCACGTTACCTTACTCACGTTACCTTACCCACGTTACTTTACCCACGTTACTTTACTCACGTTACCTTACTCACGTTACCTTACCCATGTTGTCGGCGCTCAGATTTCTCGCTTCCTCCGCTCGGAGCTCCAAGCTCGCCATGAGTGCCTCGTTCTCGCAGCACAGCCTGCTCCACGTTGTGTTGTGTTGTGTGTGTTGTGTGTGTTGTGTTGTGTGTTGTGTTGTGTGTGTGTTGTGTTGTGTGTGTTGTGTTGTGTGTTGTGTGTGTTGTGTGTGGTGTGTTGTGTGTGTTGTGTGTGTTGTGTTGTGTGTGTTGTGTGTGTTGTGTGTGTTGTGTTGTGTGTGTGTTGTGTGTGTTGTGTTGTGTGTGTTGTGTGTATTGTGTTGTGTGTGTTGTGTGTGTGTGTTGTGTGTGTTGTGTTGTGTGTTGTGTTGTGTGTGTTGTGTTGTGTGTGTTGTGTGTGTTGTGTTGTGTGTTGTGGTGTGTGTTGTGTTGTGTGTGTTGTGTGTGTTGTGTGTTGTGTTGTGTGTGTTGTGTTTTGTGTGTGTTGTGTGTGTTTTGTGTGTGTTGTGTGTTGTGTTGTGTGTGTTGTGTTTTGTGTGTGTTGTGTGTGTTTTGTGTGTGTTGTGTGTGTGTGTTGTGTGTGTTGTGTGTTGTGTTGTGTGTGTTGTGTGTTGTGTTGTGTGTGTTGTGTGTTGTGTTTGTTGTGTTGTGTGTGTTGTGTGTGTTGTGTGTGTGTTGTGTGTGTTGTGTGTTGTGTTGTGTGTGTTGTGTTGTGTGTTGTGTGTTGTGTTGTGTGTTGTGTTGTGTGTTGTGTTGTGTGTGTTGTGTGTTGTGTTGTGTGTTGTGTGTTGTGTTGTGTGTGTGTTGTGTGTGTTGTGTGTGTTGTGTGTTGTGTTGTGTGTGTTGTGTTTTGTGTGTGTTGTGTTGTGTGTGTTGTGTGTGTTGCGTTGTGTTGTGTGTGTTGTGTGTGTTGTGTTGTGTGTGTTGTGTGTGTTGTGTTGTGTGTGTTGTGTGTGTGTGTTGTGTGTGTTGTGTTGTGTGTTGTGTGTGTTGTGTGTGGTGTGTTATGTGTGTTGTGTTGTGTGTTGTGTTGTGTGTGTTGTGTGTGTTGTGTTGTGTGTTGTGTTGTGTGTGTTGTGTGTGTTGTGTTGTGTGTTGTGTGTGTGTGTTGTGTGTGTTGTGTTGTGTGTGTTGTGTGTTGTGTTGTGTGTTGTGTTGTGTGTGTTGTGTGTGTGTTGTGTGTGTTGTGTTGTGTGTTGTGTTGTGTGTGTTGTGTGTGTTGTGTTGTGTGTTGTGTTGTGTGTGTTGTGTGTGTTGTGTGTTGTGTTGTGTGTTGTGTGTCGTGTGTGTTGTGTTGTGTGTTGTGTTGTGTGTGTGTTGTGTGTCGTGTGTGTTGTGTTGTGTGTTGTGTGTTGTGTTGTGTGTTGTGTTGTGTGTGTGTTGTGTGTGTTGTGTGTTGTGTTGTGTGTGTTGTGTTGTGTGTGTTGTGTGTGTTGTGTTGTGTGTGTTGTGTGTGTTGTGTTGTGTGTGTTGTGTGTGTTGTGTGTGTTGTGTTGTGTGTGTTGTGTGTTGTGTTGTGTTTTGTGTGTGTTGTGTGTGTTTTGTGTGTGTTTTGTGTGTTGTGTGTGTTGTGTTGTGTGTTGTGGTGTGTGTGTGTGTTGTGTGTGTTGTGTTGTGTGTGTTGTGTGTTGTGTTGTGTGTGTTGTGTGTGTGTTGTGTGTGTTGTGTGTGTTGTGTTGTGTGTGTTGTGTGTTGTGTGTGTTGTGTTGTGTGTTGTGTTGTGTGTGTTGTGTTGTGTGTGTTGTGTTGTGTGTTGTGTGTCGTGTGTGTTGTGTTGTGTGTTGTGTTGTGTGTGTGTTGTGTGTCGTGTGTGTTGTGTGTTGTGTTGTGTGTTGTGTTGTGTGTTGTGTTGTGTGTGTTGTGTGTGTTGTGTGTGTTGTGTGTGTTGCGTTGTGTGTGTTGTGTGTGTTGCGTTGTGTGTGTTGTGTGTGTTGCGTTGTGTGTGTTGTGTGTGTTGTGTTGTGTGTGTTGTGTGTGTTGTGTGTGTTGAGTTGTGTTTTTTGTGTGTTTTGTTTTGTGTGTTGTGTTGTGTGTTGTGTTGTTTGTGTTGTGTTGTGTTTTTTGTGTTGTGTGTGTTGTGTGTGTTGCGTTGTGTTGTGTGTGTTGTGTGTGTTGTGTGTGTTGTGTGTGTGTTGTGTGTGTTGTGTTGTGTGTTGTGTGTGTTGTGTGTGGTGTGTTGTGTGTGTTGTGTGTGTTGTGTTGTGTGTGTTGTGTGTGTTGTGTTGTGTGTGTTGTGTGTGTTGTGTGTGTTGTGTTGTGTGTGTTGTGTGTATTGTGTTGTGTGTGTTGTGTGTGTTGCGTTGTGTGTGTTGTGTGTGTTGTGTGTGTTGTGTTGTGTGTGTTGTGTTGTGTGTTGTGTGTTGTGTTGTGTGTGTTGTGTGTGTTGTGTTGTGTGTGTTGTGTGTTGTGTGTGTTGTGTGTGTTGTGTGTGTTGTGTGTGTTGTGTGTGTTGTGTGTGTTGTGTGTGTTGTGTTGTGTGCTGTGTGTCGTGTGTGTTGTGTTGTGTGTTGTGTTGTGTGTTGTGTTGTGTGTGTGTTGTGTGTCGTGTGTGTTGTGTTGTGTGTCGTGTGTGTTGTGTTGTGTGGTGTGTTGTGTTGTGTGTGTTGTGTGTGTTGTGTGTGTTGTGTGTGTTGCGTTGTGTGTGTTGTGTGTGTTGCGTTGTGTGTGTTGTGTTGTGTGTGTTGTGTTGTGTGTGTTGTGTTGTGTGTGTTGTGTGTGTTGTGTTGTGTGTGTTGTGTTGTGTGTGTTGTGTGTGTTGTGTTGTGTGTGTTGCGTTGTGTGTGTTGTGTGTGTTGTGTGTGTTGTGTGTGTTGTGTTGTGTGTTGTGTGTGTGTGTTGTGTGTGTTGTGTTGTGTGTGTTGTGTGTGTTGCGTTGTGTTGTGTGTGTTGTGTGTGTTGTGTGTGTTGTGTGTGTTGTGTGTGTTGTGTGTGTTGTGTGTGTTGTGTTGTGTGTGTGTTGTGTGTATTGTGTTGTGTGTGTTGTGTGTGTTGCGTTGTGTGTGTTGTGTTGTGTGTGTTGTGTGTGTTGTGTGTGTTGTGTGTGTTGTGTTGTGTGTTGTGTTGTGTGTGTTGTGTGTGTTGTGTGTTGTGTTGTGTGTGTTGTGTGTGGTGTGTTGTGTGTGTTGTGTGTGTTGTGTTGTGTGTGTTGTGTGTGTTGTGTGTGGTGTGTTGTGTGTGGTGTGTTGTGTGTGGTGTGTTGTGTGTGGTGTGTTGTGTGTGTTGTGTGTGTTGTGTTGTGTGTGTTGTGTGTGTTGGGTGTGTTGTGTTGTGTGTGTTGTGTGTGTTGTGTTGTGTGTGTTGTGTGTGTTGTGTGTGTTGTGTGTGTTGTGTTGTGTGTTGTGTTGTGTGTTGTGGTGTGTGTTGTGTGTGTTGTGTTGTGTGTGTTGTGTCGTGTGTGTCGTGTTGTGTGTGTCGTGTTGTGTGTGCGTTGTGTGTGTTGTGTGTGTTGTGTGTGTTGTGTTGTGTGTGTTGTGTGTGTTGTGTTGTGTGTGTTGTGTGTGTTGTGTGTGTGTTGTGTGTGTTGTGTGTGTTGTGTGTGTTGTGTTGTGTGTGTTGTGTGTGTCGTGTTGTGTGTGTTGTGTTGTGTGTGCGTTGTGTGTGTTGTGTTGTGTGTTGTGTGTGTTGCGTTGCGTGCGGAGGAGGTCAGTGTCAAAGTGTGAAGAAAATAAGAATATGTTTTACCCCTTTCCTGGCAATAAAAACAGGAGTCGTGTTAAGATGTTCAAACGCCAAACTGCAACCTTTTAGCAAGCGATCACAGTTAGAGCATTGACTGCACGCGGTACTAGCGGTGAATACGCAGACAAAACATTTACCCGATAACGTACGAGGCATTGTCTTTGAAACTCATTGGCCTATACCAGAGACAGACTTCACAATGGCCTAGTCTCACCAGCAGTGTCACTAGACCAGTATAACAATACTATAGTATTACTCATGTAGGCATTGTCTTTAATAACAATGTAATCGTAGTGTGATATGTATTGTCTGTGAGACTGATTGAGAGATACCAGAGACAGACTTCTCTATGGCCTAGTCTCACCAGCAGTGTCACTAGACCCGTATAACAATACTATAATATTACTCATGTAGACATTGTCTTTAATAACAATGTAATCGTAGTGTGATATCTATTGTCTGTGAGACTGATTGAGAGATACCAGAGACAGACTTCTCTATGCCTAGTCTCACCAGCAGTGTCACTAGACCAGTATAACAATGCTATAGTATTACTCATGTAGGCATTGTCCTTAATAACAATCTAATCGTAGTGTGATATGCGTTGTCTTTGAGACTGATTGAGAGACAGCAGAGACAGACTTCTCTATGCCTAGTCTCACCAGCAGTGTCACTAGACCAGTATAACAATACTATAGTATTACTCATGTAGGCATTGTCTTTAATAACAATGTAATCGTAGTGTGATATCTATTGTTTTTGAGACTGATTGAGAGACAGCAGAGACAGACTTCTCTATGGCCTAGTCTCACCAGCAGTGTCACTAGACAGTATAACAATAATATAGTATTACTCATGTAGACATTGTCTTTAATAACAATGTAATCGTAGTGTGATATGCGTTGTCTTTGAGACTGATTGAGAGATACCAGAGACAGACTTCTCTATGGTCTAGTCTCACCAGCAGTGTCACTAGACCAGTACTGTATAACAACAATGATATAGTATATCAAATCAATTGCTTCTGCGGTAAATGCTACATTAGACAGGCAGGACGTAACATTAGCGTAAGATTTCGATTTAAAGCTTTCGTGACTGCAAGGATTCATCTTCTTTGGTTCTTTCGGTAAAGTCACGTAGAATGAGAATAAAATAATGAAATAAAACAATTACATTCTCACGACGTTTCGGCCACAACACAAGTGGCCTTCTTCAGGTGAAAGGAACAAACCTGTCGGGACGACAGAGCTACAATGTAGCTGCATCGTAGACTAAAAGAACACCAAAGGAACGTTAAATTCTCCCAAACACAGCTGTCAGCAGTGGCAGGAGCATGCCTGCCATCAAGGACATTCAATTGATTTTGATAACGTTTAAGCGTTATGCAGAAATAATTATTACTGGCCATGATGAGAATCAATCGAAATTGAGAAGAATTCAAATAATTTGAATCCCTGTGAAACCCATAGACTCAGCGCAGCCTGGAAGCGTTTAATTATTAAATAATACGCAACACATATTTGCAATTCCTTACTGGTGAGTCACATGCTAAGTGGCTGATTACTGATCTATTACATAACTGCATACACCCCCACCCCTGCCTCTGATCTCAAATCCTGATGGGGATCAACAACGATGACGTCATCCTGCACTATTTCAGACCGGGAGCAGCAGGAGGATGGCTTCACTCGTCAGGCAAATCGCACTAAGATGCTGGATGATGTCATCACCAGCGAAACGTCGTACTACTCAAAGTCTAAATGTTGTGGATCCACTCTTCAACACACCGGGTTGGCTAAAATAGTACACTACACTATACACTACACTACTATACACACCGCACCAGGTTCCTCATTTGAGGCCAAGTCGACATAGGGGAGGCCCAGGACCGGTTCAGATAATCGTCACTGGGTGTTGACAGTGAGCGGGAATCGAACCCGGGTAGCCGGGTTCGTAGCGCCGTGCGCTAACCGCTACCACCACCGCTCCCCACAATTATAGACTATACATAAACAAAGATCCCCCGTGTAGCCTCAACAGACTGTCGGGGCAAGTGCTGCTAGCGTGCCGCACCTATGAAGGCAGGCACGGCACACGAGGGGGTGGGTGGCCAGCACCACGCCCGGCCGCCTTTGTCTCCCCAGTGGCGACGTTTACTCCACACACCGCTATACCAGGTACTCTACATGTATATTTACACACACACACACAAGTAAAATGTGGCCAGCAGTGTCGATGACCTGTAGCCCCTGGCACCTGCCTGTCGTATCGCTCCAGCCACAGCTTCTCCACGCTGCTCAGGCGCTCACGGTTGGACTCCACCTCCCAGCGCAGCTCGTTCACCTCCTGCCACCACAGCCGCAAGCAGGCGTGAGCCGCGGATAACGGGGCCTCGCGCGACCTCGCGACCTCTCGCAGCCTCACGCGACCTCTCGCGGCCTCTCGCGGCCTGACGCGACCTCACGCGACCTCGCGACTTCGAACCTCGCGCGAGCCGAACGAACGAACGAAGGAACGAACGAAGGAACCAGTCAAGCGCCCACACAACCGCAGCAGCCTCACCTTCTCCAGAGACTTCTTGCTCTCCTCTATCCTCTGCACCTTCTCCACGCAGTGCGACGTCGCTATTCCAAACACGGCCTGCGGGGGGCAGGGAGGGGGGCACGGGGGACACGCGGAAACGTTGTGAGGGCTCGTGAGGACGCCGGGACGAACGTCGTCGACAAACTTCGGGCCGGAGCTGCGTGCGAGACGTCCACGCCGACTGGCGAGATGTTGACTACCTCGCCTGGTGTACAGGAGGTCGTGGGTTCGATCCCGACCCTGATGACGCCTGCTGCTGCTGTATATTTGGAGTCTGCGTGTCTCTCTCTCTCATCATCATCACGGTGGCTAGGAGATGTTGACTACCTCGCCTGGTATACAGGAGGTCGTGGGTTTGATCCGAACACTGACGATGCCTGCTGTGGTGATGTGCATTTTTCTCCGAGTCCTGCGGTGGGGCCTTGCCCAGATCTTTCAAGGCTTTGTGAGCTCCTCACACAATCCAGCCTGGTTAAACCCAGGATGGATCGTAGGCAGGCCAGCCTAAATGTTTCTAACCGGCGAAGATGTTCCATTAGGGGGGTCCACGTTTCGCAAGCGTAGAGAAGGGAGGGAATGAATGTGGCCGAGAAGACCTGAAGCTTAGTGCGGAGCGACAGACCAGGTAGCTTCCACACAGCGTTACGCAACTGATGAAAAAATATTGCCGCTCGACTGATTCGGAGTGAGACCTCTGCTGTTAAACTGGAGCCGGTCATAAGCACACTGCTCAGGTATGGGAAACTCTCCACTCTCTCCACAACTGTCCCATCACCGATTGGGAGTTGTGGGGGTGGAGTGTCCGATGGTACAAAATACCCAGGCAGGTGCTTAGTTTTGGTGGGGCTGATGGTAAGGCCCCATCTCTAAGTGGCACGCTCCAGTCTCAGCAGCAGCGTCTCCAACTCCTCCTCTGAATGAGCAGCTATTACCAAATCATCGGCATACATAACGTGGTTGAGCAATAGGGAACCATCCCTTGACCGCACCCGGGCATCGATCAGCCTCCCATTATATCTGTACCAAATGGAGATTCCCCTGGTACAGCTATTGAAGGCTTCACGAACTACGTGGTCAAAATAGATGTTAAATAATGGGGGAGCCAGAGGACATCCCTGTCGCACCCCAAGGTGTACAGGGAATGGCTCTGACTCCCGGCCACGTAGTTTTACCCAGGCCCGCCCACCATCATGAAGGTCCTTAATGATCATGAGCAGAGGATCAGGGACTCCAAAAGCACGAAGAACAACCCAGAGCCCAGGCCTACTGATGGTATCATAGGCCTTGACCAGGTCAATAAAGCAGAGATGTAGGTCTTGTTGGAATTCCCTACACCTCTGCTGTAGCAGACGGACAGAAAATATGGCATCTGTGCAGGACCGCCCTTTCCTGAAACCGCATTGGGGCTCCGCAAGCCTCTCCTCAGCGTGCCTGGCAAGGCGATGTTGAATAATCCTTGCCAGGACCTTTCCCGGAACACTGAGGAGTGAGATGCCCATGTAGTCGTTACAGTCTGTGCATTCCCCCTTTTTAAAGAGGGGGACCACCAGGGCATCCTTCCAATCCTGCGGAATCCGTCCAGTGGTCCAGACTGTTGTTATGATGTCATGTAGGGCAGTCTGTGCACAAACGCCACCCTCCCTCAGCATTTCGCTTGGGAGATCATCTCTGCCCGGTACCTTTCCTGGTCTCAGACTCCGGATGGCCTTCAGTACTTCCTCAACAGATGGCACCTCAGCCAGCCACTCACAGGGGGTGACTTCTTCCAATATTTGAGGCACTGCAGCCTCAGCAGGATCATCCCCACTTTGTGCCACGATGTTTTCCTGGCTGAGGGATTTCTCCTCCCCCAGGACCTCACGGAAATGCTCAGCAAATCTGCAAACCTGTTCCTGGGGGTTGGACATTGGATCACCGTTTTTACCCCTCATGATGGTAATAGGTGTGGCGCTGCAGGTTACTTTTTGATGGAGTTAAACAGGGATTTGTGATCGCGGGCCACTGAGGCAGACTCAATCTCCTCAGCAACCCGCGACCACCACCCATCCTTGCAGCGCCTCACGGCTCTCCGAACCTCCGAGCGAAGGCTGCGGTAAGCCTCCTCATTCTCTGACGTGGGACTCTGTAGCCGATGACAGTGGGCCTGTCGCTTTTTCTCAACCATCGTGAACACCTCCTCTGTCAGCCAGGGTCTCTGGGGAGGTCTGGACCGTGTACCCAAAGCAGCCATTGCAGCTGCATGAGTCACAGTCCTAAACCTCGCCAATTTAACCTCGACATCAGGAGGAGTGGGGGACGATGCTAACCCCAGCCGCAAGCGATGATGAAATTCTCGCTTGCAACTTTCATCAGATAACTGAGACCAGGCCACTTTAGGTTTTAATGGGGTCCTGGGTGTACACCCACCACTGGAGTGGAAGAATGGCAGGCGCATCTTACAGATGACTAGTCGATGGTCAGAGGGCAGATCAGCTCCACGGTAGGTCCTGGTGTCAAGGACATGGGCTCGCATCCGCTGGTCCGTCACTATGAAGTCCAGCAGATGTTCTTGCTTGGACCCGGCATGCATCCATGATGTTGTGTGGATGCGCCGATGCCGTAACAGCGTGTTGGTAATTACAAGCCCATGGGTTGCACAAAAATCTAGCAGCCTCCTACCGTTGTTATTGAGCTAATCTGGCCCATGCCCTCCAATCACTTCAGACCAGGTGCCAGCATTATATTTAAGTTGTGGTTTTGTGGTAATTTTTTGAAGTTGGAGGGGTTACCAGCCCCTCACACCCGTCCAGAGCCCCCGTTTAGCCACTGTGGTGGTCACAGACGCCATGAGGGGAGGGGCCAATCAGAATTGGCCCTCTCCCCACAGCACTGTCCACGACAGAGTTGCCCGTCTGGCACCGCGAGAAGGTAGGGGGTTGTTTTGCCAGACCAAACTCACACACATACTCACTCACTCACACACTCACTCACTCACACACTCACTCACAAACTCACTCACACACTCACTCACACACCCACTCACTCGCTCGCTCACTCACCCACACACTCACTCACCCACTCACTCACACACTCACCCAGACACTCACTCACACACTCACCCACACACTCACACACACTCACACACTGACACACTGACACACTCACACACACACACTCTCACACACACTCACACACTCACACACCCACTCACTCACACACTCACCCACCCACTTACACGCTCACTCACTCACCCACCCACCCACACACTCACACACACACTCACTCACACACTCACTTACCCACTCACTCACTCACACAACAACAACCGCCATTAGCCACTAAGTGGCGGTGACGTCACCATGACGCTTGTGCCAGGCTATGTGCACCCTGAGGCCACGTGAAGGGTCGAACGCCCGCTGGCAGGAGGTCACGGGGCAGACCCAAGTGCCAGGGGTCGACTGACTGGGATGACTGAGATGACTGGCTGATGCACTACCTGTGCCCCCTACTGTGCTAACATGCTGTGCTTTAGCCACCCGGCGCTCCGCTCGTTGTTGTGAGCATCGCTCCTCCGCCCTCCGTTGTTGTTGGAGGGCGACTACCTCCAACTGCCCAGTAGCGTCCTTCACGAGCCTCCTCCACAGAGGCTGACCTTGACACCGCTGGTACCAGTCATCGGCAAGTCCACTCAGCTCCACGTCCTCCTGTACCACATCACTCCATCTCTTCTCTAGCCCGTGCCGCACCCGCTTAGCCCCCTCAATCCGGCCGAACAAAAGCTGTTTCGGCATGCAGTGGCTGGGCATGCGGGCTACATGACCCAGCCATCGCAGCCTTCCCCGCCGGAGGAGCTCACCGATGGGACCTTGCCCAGATCTTTCAAGGATTTGTGAGCTCCTCACACAGTCCAGTCTGGTTAAACCCAGGATGGATCGTAGGCAGGCCAGCCTAAATGTTTCTAACCGGCAAAGATGTTCCATTAGGGGGGTCCACGTTTCGCAAGCGTAGAGAAGGGAGGGAATGACCGTGGCCGAGAAGACCTGAAGCTTAGTGCGGAGCGACAGACCAGGTAGCTTCCACACAGCGTTACGCAACCGATGAAAATATATTGCCGCTCGACTGATTCGGAGTGAGACCTCTGCTGTTAAAATGGAGCCGGTCATAAGCACACTGCCCAGGTATGGGAAACTCTCCACTCTCTCCACAACTGCCCCATCACCGATTGGGAGTTGTGGGGGTGGAGTGTCCGATGGTACAAAATACCCATGCAGGTGCTTAGTTTTGGTGGGGGTGATGGTAAGGCCCCACCAAAACTCACACACACACTCACACACTCACACACACACTCACTCACCCACTCACTCACACACTCCCCCACACACTCACCCACACACACACTCACTCACACACTCACTCACTCACACACTCACGCACTCACTCACTCACACACACACTCACTCACACATTCACACACTCACTCACACATTCACACACTCACTCACTCGCTCACTCACTCACTCACACACCCACTCACTCGCTCACTCATACACTCACTCACTCGCTCACTCATACACTCACTCACACACACACTCACACACTCACTCACACTCACTCACACACTCACACATCGACACACCCACTCACACATTCGCTCACCCACTCACTCACACACTCACTCACCCACTCACACTCCCACACAATCACTCGCTCGGTCGCTCACTCACCCACGCCCCTGGGGTGCCCCCCACGCCCCCCCCCCGGTGCCCCCCACACCCCGGGGTGCCCCCCACGCCCATCACCTGCCTTGCTCTGCAGAGTCTGGATGGCGGCATCCTTCTCCTCCAGCAGCTCGTGCGCTTGCTCCAGCTGCCGCCTCAAAGCCTCGGCCTCCTGGAGAACCAAACGCACCACGTGGGGCCCCGTGGGAGTCGACGGGTCTCTCTGTGTGGGTCTATGGGTCTCTGTGTGGGTCTGTGGGTCTCTGTGTGAGTCTGTGGGTGTCTATGTGTGAGTCTATGGGTCTCTGTGTGGGTCTATGGGTGTCTATGTGAGTCTGTGGGTCTCTGTGTGGGTCTATGGGTCTCTCTGTGTGAGTCTATGGGTCTCTGTGTGGGTCTATGGGTCTCTGTGTGAGTCTATGGGTCTCTGTGTGAGTCTATGGGTCTCTGTGTGAGTCTATGTGTCTCTGTGTGAGTCTGTGGGTCTCTGTGTGGGTCTATGGGTCTCTGTGTGAGTCTGTGGGTCTCTGTGTGGGTCTATGGGTCTTTGTGTGAGTCTATGGGTGTCTATGTGAGTCTATGGGTCTCTGTGTGAGTCTATGGGTCTCTGTGTGAGTCTATGGGTCTCTGTGTGAGTCTATGGGTGTCTATGTGAGTCTATGGGTCTCTGTGTGGGTCTATGGGTCTCTGTGCGAGTCTATGGGTCTCTGTGTGGGTCTCTGTGTGAGTCTGTGGGTCTCTGTGCGAGTCTGTGGGTCTCTGTGTGAGTCTATGGGTGTCTATGTGAGTCTATGGGTCTCTGTGTGAGTCTATGGGTGTCTATGTGAGTCTATGGGTCTCTGTGTGAGTCTATGGGTCTCTGTGTGAGTCTGTGGGTCTCTGTGTGAGTCTGTGGGTCTCTGTGTGAGTCTGTGGGTTCTCTGTGTGAGTATGTGGGTCTCTGTGTGAGTCTATGGGTCTCTGTGCGAGTCTGTGGGTGTCTTTGTGAGTCTATGGGTCTCTGTGTGAGTCTATGTGTCTCTGTGTGAGTCTGTGGGTCTCTGTGTGAGTCTATGGGTGTCTATGTGAGTCTATGGGTCTCTGTGTGAGTCTATGGGTGTCTATGTGAGTCTATGGGTCTCTGTGTGAGTCTATGGGTCTCTGTGTGAGTCTGTGGGGCTCTGTGTGAGTCTGTGGGTCTCTGTGTGAGTCTGTGGGTTCTCTGTGTGAGTATGTGGGTCTCTGTGTGAGTCTATGGGTCTCTGTGCGAGTCTGTGGGTGTCTTTGTGAGTCTATGGGTCTCTGTGTGAGTCTATGTGGCTCTGTGTGAGTCTGTGGGTCTCTGTGTGAGTCTATGGGTCTCTGTGTGAGTCTATGGGTCTTTGTGTGAGTCTGTGGGTCTCTGTGTGAGTCTATAGGTCTCTGTGTGAGTCTGTGAGTCTGTGTGAGTCTACGGGTCTCTGTGTGAGTCTATGGGTCTCTGTGTGAGTCTGTGGGGCTCCGTGGGAGTCGACGGGTCTCTCTGTGTGAGTCTACGGGTCTCTGTGTGAGTCTGTGGGTCTCTGTGTGAGACTATGGATCTCTGTGTGAGTCTATGGGTCTCTGTGTGAGTCTATGGGTCTCTGTGTGAGTCTGTGGGTCGCTGTGCGAGTCTGTGGGTCTCTGTGCGAGTCTGTGGGTCTCTGTGCGAGTCTATGGATCTCTGGGTGAGTCTATGGGTCTCTGTGTGAGTCTATGGGTCTCTGTGTGAGTCTGTGGGTCTCTGTGCGAGTGTGTGGGTCTCTGTGCAAGTCTGTGGGTCTCTGTGTGAGTCTACGGTTCTCTGTGTGAATCTACGGGTCTCTGTGTGAGTCTATGGGTCTCTGTGTGAGTCTATGGGTCTCTGTGTGAGTCTATGGGTCTCTGTGTGAGTCTATCGGTCTCTGTGTGAATATATGGGTCTATGTGTGAGTCTATGGGTCTCTGTGTGAGTCTATGGGTCTCTGTGTAAGTCCGTGGGTCTCTGTGTAAGTCCGTGGGTCTCTGTGTAAGTCTGTGGGTCTCTGTGTACGTCTTTGGGTCTCTGTGTAAGTCTGTGGGTCTCTGTGTGAGTCTGTGGGTCTCTGTATGAGTCTGTGGGTCTCTGTGTAAGTCTGTGGGTCTCTGTGTAGGTCTGTGGGTCTCTGTGTGAGTCTGTGGGTCTCTGTGTGAGTCTGTGGGTACTCTGTGTGAGTATGTGGGTCTCTGTGTGAGTCTATGGGTCTCTGTGCGAGTCTGTGGGTGTCTGTGCGAGTCTGTGGGTGTGTGTGTGAGTCTATGGGTCTCTGTGTGAGTCTGTGGGTCTCTGTGTGAGTCTGTGGGTCTTTGTGTGAGTCTGTGGGTCTCCATGTGAGTCTGTGGGTCTCTGTGTGAGTCTATGGGTCTTTGTGTGAGTCTGTGGGTCTCTGTGTGAGTCTGTGGGTCTCTGTGTGAGTCTGTGGGTCTCTGTGTGAGTCTGTGGGTCTCTGTGTAAGTCTGTGGGTCTCTGTGTAAGTATATGGGTCTCTGTGTGAGTCTATGGGTCTTTGTGTGAGTATGTGGGTCTCTGTGTGAGTCTGTGGGTCTCTGTGTAAGTCTCTGGGTCTCTGTGTAAGTCTGTGGGTCTCTGTGAAAGTATGTGGGTCTCTGTGTGAGTCTGTGTGTCTCTGTGTGAGTCTATGGGTCTCTGTGTGCGTCTATGGGTCTCTGTGTGAGTCTGTGGGTCACTGTGTAAGTCTGTGGGTCACTGTGTGTGCCTGTGGGTCTCTGTGTGAGTCTATGGGTCTCTGTGTAAGTCTATGGGTCTCTGTGTAAGTCTATTGGTCTCTGTGTATGTCTGTGGGTCTCTATGTGAGTTTATGGCTCTCTGTGTGAGTTGATGGTCTCTGTGTGAGTCTATGGGTCTCTGTGTGAGTCTGTGGGTCTCTGTGTAAGTCTGTGGGTCTCTGTGTAAGCATATGGGTGTCTGTATGAGTCTATGGGTCTCTGTGTGAGTCTATGGGTCTCTGTGTGAGTCTATGGGTCTCTGTGTGAGTCTATGGGTGTCTATGTGAGTCTATGGGTCTCTGTGTGGGTCTATGGGTCTCTGTGCGAGTCTATGGGTCTCTGTGTGGGTCTCTGTGTGAGTCTGTGGGTCTCTGTGCGAGTCTGTGGGTCTCTGTGTGAGTCTATGGGTGTCTATGTGAGTCTATGGGTCTCTGTGTGAGTCTATGGGTGTCTATGTGAGTCTATGGGTCTCTGTGTGAGTCTATGGGTCTCTGTGTGAGTCTGTGGGTCTCTGTGTGAGTCTGTGGGTCTCTGTGTGAGTCTGTGGGTTCTCTGTGTGAGTATGTGGGTCTCTGTGTGAGTCTATGGGTCTCTGTGCGAGTCTGTGGGTGTCTTTGTGAGTCTATGGGTCTCTGTGTGAGTCTATGTGTCTCTGTGTGAGTCTGTGGGTCTCTGTGTGAGTCTATGGGTGTCTATGTGAGTCTATGGGTCTCTGTGTGAGTCTATGGGTGTCTATGTGAGTCTATGGGTCTCTGTGTGAGTCTATGGGTCTCTGTGTGAGTCTGTGGGGCTCTGTGTGAGTCTGTGGGTCTCTGTGTGAGTCTGTGGGTTCTCTGTGTGAGTATGTGGGTCTCTGTTTGAGTCTATGGGTCTCTGTGCGAGTCTGTGGGTGTATTTGTGAGTCTATGGGTCTCTGTGTGAGTCTATGTGGCTCTGTGTGAGTCTGTGGGTCTCTGTGTGAGTCTATGGGTCTCTGTGTGAGTCTATGGGTCTTTGTGTGAGTCTGTGGGTCTCTGTGTGAGTCTATAGGTCTCTGTGTGAGTCTGTGAGTCTGTGTGAGTCTACGGGTCTCTGTGTGAGTCTATGGGTCTCTGTGTGAGTCTGTGGGGCTCCGTGGGAGTCGACGGGTCTCTCTGTGTGAGTCTACGGGTCTCTGTGTGAGTCTGTGGGTCTCTGTGTGAGACTATGGATCTCTGTGTGAGTCTATGGGTCTCTGTGTGAGTCTATGGGTCTCTGTGTGAGTCTGTGGGTCGCTGTGCGAGTCTGTGGGTCTCTGTGCGAGTCTGTGGGTCTCTGTGCGAGTCTATGGATCTCTGGGTGAGTCTATGGGTCTCTGTGTGAGTCTATGGGTCTCTGTGTGAGTCTGTGGGTCTCTGTGCGAGTGTGTGGGTCTCTGTGCAAGTCTGTGGGTCTCTGTGTGAGTCTACGGTTCTCTGTGTGAATCTACGGGTCTCTGTGTGAGTCTATGGGTCTCTGTGTGAGTCTATGGGTCTCTGTGTGAGTCTATGGGTCTCTGTGTGAGTCTATCGGTCTCTGTGTGAATATATGGGTCTATGTGTGAGTCTATGGGTCTCTGTGTGAGTCTATGGGTCTCTGTGTAAGTCCGTGGGTCTCTGTGTAAGTCCGTGGGTCTCTGTGTAAGTCTGTGGGTCTCTGTGTACGTCTTTGGGTCTCTGTGTAAGTCTGTGGGTCTCTGTGTGAGTCTGTGGGTCTCTGTATGAGTCTGTGGGTCTCTGTGTAAGTCTGTGGGTCTCTGTGTAGGTCTGTGGGTCTCTGTGTGAGTCTGTGGGTCTCTGTGTGAGTCTGTGGGTACTCTGTGTGAGTATGTGGGTCTCTGTGTGAGTCTATGGGTCTCTGTGCGAGTCTGTGGGTGTCTGTGCGAGTCTGTGGGTGTGTGTGTGAGTCTATGGGTCTCTGTGTGAGTCTGTGGGTCTCTGTGTGAGTCTGTGGGTCTTTGTGTGAGTCTGTGGGTCTCCATGTGAGTCTGTGGGTCTCTGTGTGAGTCTATGGGTCTTTGTGTGAGTCTGTGGGTCTCTGTGTGAGTCTGTGGGTCTCTGTGTGAGTCTGTGGGTCTCTGTGTGAGTCTGTGGGTCTCTGTGTAAGTCTGTGGGTCTCTGTGTAAGTATATGGGTCTCTGTGTGAGTCTATGGGTCTTTGTGTGAGTATGTGGGTCTCTGTGTGAGTCTGTGGGTCTCTGTGTAAGTCTCTGGGTCTCTGTGTAAGTCTGTGGGTCTCTGTGAAAGTATGTGGGTCTCTGTGTGAGTCTGTGTGTCTCTGTGTGAGTCTATGGGTCTCTGTGTGCGTCTATGGGTCTCTGTGTGAGTCTGTGGGTCACTGTGTAAGTCTGTGGGTCACTGTGTGTGCCTGTGGGTCTCTGTGTGAGTCTATGGGTCTCTGTGTAAGTCTATGGGTCTCTGTGTAAGTCTATTGGTCTCTGTGTATGTCTGTGGGTCTCTATGTGAGTTTATGGCTCTCTGTGTGAGTTGATGGTCTCTGTGTGAGTCTATGGGTCTCTGTGTGAGTCTGTGGGTCTCTGTGTAAGTCTGTGGGTCTCTGTGTAAGCATATGGGTGTCTGTATGAGTCTATGGGTCTCTGTGTGAGTCTATGGGTCTCTGTGTAAGTCAATGGGTCTCTGTGTGAGTCTGTGGGTCTCTGTGTAAGTCTGTGGGTCTCTTAGTAAGTCTGTGGGTCTCTGTGTAAGTCTGTGGGTCTCTGTGTAAGTCTGTGGGTCTCTGTGTAAGTCTGTGGGTCTCTGTATGAGTCTACGGGTCTTTGTGTAGTCTGTGAGTCTCAGTGTGAGTCTGTGGGTCTCTGTGTGAGTCTATGGGTGTCTATGTGAGTCTATGGGTATCTATGTGATTCTGTGAGTCTCTGTGTGAGTATGTGGGTCTCTGTGCGAGTCTACGGGTCTCTGTGTGAGTTTGTGGGTCTCTGGGTGAGTCTACGGGTCTCTGTGTGAGTCTATGGATCTCTGTGTGAGTCTGTGGGTCTTTGTGTGATTCTGTGGGTCTTTGTGTGATTCTGTGGGTCTCTGTGTAAGTCTATGGGTCTCTGTGTAAGTCTGTGGGTCTCTGTGCGAGTCTGTGGGTCTCTGTGTGAGTCTGTGGGTCTCTGTGTGAGTCTATGGGTCTCTGTGTGAATCTATGGGTCTCTGTGTGAGTCTATGGGTCTCTGTATGAGTCTATGGGTCTCTGTGTGAGTCTATGGGTCTCTGTTAGAGTCAATGGGTCTCTGTGTAAGTATGTGGGTCTCTGTGTGAGTCTATGGGTATTTCCGCGTGAATCTATGGGTCTCTGTGTGAGTCTAAGGGTCTCTGTGTGAGTCTATGGGTCTCTGTGTAAGTCTGTGGGTCTCTGTGTAAGTATGTGGGTCTCTGTGTAAGTCTGTGGGTCTCTGTGTGAGTCTGTGGGTTCTCTGTGTGAGTCTGTGAGTCTCTGTGGGTCTCTGTGAGTCTATGGGTCTCTGTGTGAGTCTATGGGTCTCTGTGTAAGTCTGTGGGTCTCTGTGTAAGTCTGTGGGTCTCTGTGTGAGTCTCGTACCTCGTGGGAATGCTCCAGTTCATGCCTCAGGACCTCCAGCGCCAGCTCGCAATCGGCCAGCCGATCTTCAACAATTGAAAATTGCACGCACACACACACACGCACGTACACACAAGCGCACCCACACACACACGCACACACAAGCGCACACACACACGCACAAAGACATAATAGTCCTCGAGTCATATCTCTCTAAGGATGGCTTGTGGGGATCCGCCCCTGGTGGAATATGCTCCCAATGGTTATCGGGTCTGCATTTTACATCCAGATGACAAATACGCACGATAGCAAGGGTACGGGAGTAGTTTGAGAGGTAGTTGTGTCTGTAAACGAGATGGTATACGGTATAACACCACCACCGCAATGGAACTCCCATCACCACCACCACTTTCACCACCATCGCCATCATGAATACCACAACCACATTACCACCGTGACCACCACCGTTAGCACCGTGACCACCAACACCACCACCACTATACCACCACTATCCCATCACCATCACCAACACCACCACCAATACCAATAGCCACCATTCGCCACTAAGTGGCGGTGATGTCAGCACGGCGCCTGTGCCAGGCTAGGTGCACTTTGAGGCCGCCACGAGAAGTGTCGAAGGCTCGCCGCTGACAGGAGGTCCCGGGACAGACCCAGCAGGTGCCATGGGTTGACTGCTGCTGTGCCAGGCTAGGTGCAGGAGGAGATCCCGGGACAGACCCAGCAGGTGCCATGGGTTGACTGCTGCTGTGCCAGGCTAGGTGCAGGAGGAGGTTGCGGGATAGACCCAGCAGGTGCCATGGGTTGTACTGCTGCTGTGCCGGGCTAGGTGCAGGAGGAGGTCAGAGAACAGACCCAGCAGGTGCCATGGGTTGTACTGCTGCTGTGCCGGGCTAGGTGCAGGAGGAGGTCACGGGACAGACCCAGCAGGTGCCATGGGTTGGCTGAGATGACCACCGGTAGATGCATCACCACCGGCTGTGCCCCCGACTGTGCCAACTTGCTGCATTTTAGCTGCCCGGCGCTCCGCTCGTTGTTGTGAGCGTCGCTCCTCTGCCCTCCATCGTTACTGGAGGGCGACTGCCTCCAACTGCCCAGCAGCAGCGTCTTTACTCTTTAGTACTTAACTACATATTCTTGATTCTTTCGGTAAAGTCACGTAGAAGGGAAACAATAAAATAATAAAAATATAAAACAATAAGATTCTCACGACGTTTCGACTGCAACACAAGCAATCATCATCAGGTGAGAATTTTATTGTTTTAAATTTTATTATTTTACTGTTTCCCTTCTACGTGGTGACTTTACCGAAAGAACCAAGAATATGAATCCCTGCAGTCACGAAAGCTTTAAATAAAAATACTTAACTGCAGTTCGGTACTTGCTATGCTACGGCAGTATCTCAGATATGTAGATACACACGTGCGTGTACGTGCCTATCTCGACACCGCTGGTTACCGGTCGTCGGCAAGTCCACTCGGCTCCACGTCCTCCCACCACCACCACCACCAATCCCTCATCACCACCACCACCAATCCCTCACCACCACCACTAATCCCTCATAATCACTACCACCACCAATCCCTCATCACCACCACCACCAATTCCTCATCACCACCACCACCACCACCAATCCCTCATCACCACCACCACCAATCCCTCATCACCACCACCACCAATCCCTCACCAATCCCTCACCACCACCACCACCACCAATCCCTCACCACCACCACCACCACAACCACCACCACCACCACCAATCCCTCACCACCACCATCACCACCACCATCACCAATCCCTCATCACCACCACCAATCCCTCACCACCACCACCACCAATCCCTCACCACCACCACCACCAATCCCTCACCACCACCACCACCACCAATCCCTCACCACCACCACCACCACCAATGCCTCACCACCATGCACGCTCACCTGCCCTCGTCCCCACGCATCCGTTGACAGCGTGACCCCCGCCGCCGCCGCCGCCGCTCAGGGCTCTGGCGGGGTCGTGAGGTCCCCCCCCCTTGCAGTGCCCCGCCGCCACCGCCGCCGCGGGGGTCTGCAAGGGGCTCGCTTCCTTCTCCTCAAAGACGAGGCCCCCCGGCTTTTTGCCGAGCCCCGCTCCCAGATCTCCCGCCACCATGTCGTCGGCGTCCTCCTCCGAGGTGGAGTTGAGCGTGGTGCTTCGGCTCGTCGTCGTCGTCGTCGTGGGCATCGTCATCCTCCTCCGCTTCCTCCGCTCTCGTAATTCTATGATATCCTCCTCCCTACCTCCCTACCTCCGGACCTCTACGGCATGCCAACAGTTGAATCGTCGGGGCGACGCTCGCCGCCGCGAAGTCTCCGCTCGCCGCGAGCTCGTCAATAATAATAATAATATCCTTGCACCCTCGTCGCCATTGCAATCGTCGTCATCGTCGCACGAGGAGATTGATGAGAAATCGATCATTAACTTAAAATGACATCGTCATCATCGTCATCATCATCTCCATCAGCAGCTGCAGCAGTGAGGTGGTCCGTCAGCCGGCCAACATCAGCATTGGCAGCAGTCAATGAGGAAAGTTTAAATCTTCATCAGCTTCAGATGTCGGTTTGTATCATCATCAGCAGCAGCAGTAAAGTGATCCGTCAGATGGCCCAATATCATCGTCAGCAGCAGCAGTAATTGAAGAAAGTTTCATTCTTCATCAGCCTCAGATGTAGGTGTGTTTTATCATCATCATCATCATTCACACGACCATCAGCTGAACATCCGAATCATCAGCATCGCCATCGTCGTCGTTATTATCATCACCACCAGCAGCAGCTGTAGAAAGACGTAGATCACATCGTTTAATCATCATCATCATCAGTTGATCTTCATCACATAATCAAATCATCATCAGTAGGTCTTCCATTACATCAACAAATCATCATCAGTAGGTCTTACATCACATAATCAAATCATCATCAGTAGGTCTTCCATCACATCATCAAATCATCATCATCATCAGTTGATCTTCCATCACATAATCAAATCATCATCAGTTGGTGTTCCATCACATAATCAAATCATCATCATCAGTTGATCTTCCATCAAATAATCAAATCATCATCAGTAGGTGTTCCATCATATAATCAAATCATCATCATAAGTTGATCTTCCATCACATAATCAAATCATCATCAGGATGTGTTCCATCACATAATCAAATCATCAGTTGATCTTCCATCACATAATCAAATAATCATCAGGAGGTGTTACATCACATAATCAAATCATCATCATCAGGTGTTCCATCACATCATCAAATCATTTTTATCAGTAGGTCTTTCATCACATAATCAAATCATCATCAGTAGGTCTTCCTCATCATCACCATCATCAGTTAGGAAGCTCGTCATCCTTCAAGGGGATGGACATCGTTTGAAGGATCACCTCCAAAATGTCCAGCGCTTACAATTTAACGTAGTTTGTTACAATACACGAGCCTCATCTCTAAAATATAAATGCACTAGGCAACTCCAGCATCGGCTCCCATAGTTTACAAAAAAAATGTAGTTGATAAAAAAATATTTTCTAAAGTTTTAAAGAAAACGATCTCTAAACACGGATGACGCCAAATTAAACACGCGACTTCCTAACCATTAAACGAATAACAAAACTCTCTCTACTACAACTGCCATCACACGTTCAGTATCATCAACTTCATCCCATAAAATCTACGGTCCACACGTGCGCGCGCGTATCTGAGATACTGCCGGAGATTTACAAGTAGCGAACTGTCGTTAAGAACTCAACAGTAATTGCTCCCTGGGTACTAAGGCGAGGTGAGAGTGTACGAGGTTAGGTTGATGAGGGATGAGGAGGTGCAGGATGAGGATGCAGTGTAGCCACGTACTCCACCGTAGCTACTCACGTGAGTACCGAGGCCAGCAGAGCGGAGGAGGTAGGGTGACGAGAGCGGCGCATGAGGAGGATGAGGATGTAGCCGGGATGTCAGTGGTGACACGAAGCCGGTTCTCAAGAGGCTGTCTTGGCCCTCCAACCATCCCGGAACTGCCGTGGCTGCCCTGCCCACTCTCAGACTCCCCCCCGGACGGCCACGATGACTCGCATCTCCCCCCTCCCTCCTCCCTCCTCCACCCTCTCCACCACCCCCCCTCCTCTCCATCCCCCCTCTCCATCCCCCTCTCTCTACCCTCCTCTCCACCCCCCCTCTCCACCGCCCCGCCTCTCCATCCCCCTCTTCACCACCCACCCCCTCTACCCCCCCTCTCTACCCCCCCCCTCTCTACACTCCTCTCCACCGCCCCCCTTCCATCCCCCCTCTCCACCACCCCCCCTCTCCATCCCTCTCTCTCTATCCCCCCTCTCCACCCCTCCCTCTCCACCACCCCCCCCTCCTCTCCATCCCCTCTCCACCCCCCCTCTCCACCCCCCTCTCTACCCCCTCCCCCCCTCTCCATCCCCCCCTCTCTACCCCCCTCACTATCCCCCTCTCCATCCCCCCCTCTCCACCCCCCCTCTCCCCCCTCTCTACCCCCCTCTCCATCAGCTGTTGAGGTGGACGGCCAAGCGGCGCCCTCGAGTTGTCTGATCGAGTCCAGGCGGGAATCTTTAATTTTTTTTATTTTAAACATGTTGTTTAAAAAAAATGTTTAAAAAAAAACATGTTGTTTAAAAATAAAACATGTTGTTTAAAAAAAAGTTGTTTAAAAAAACTTGTTGTTGCGTTCGTTTTGACGCCGGGCTAATCACAAAATGCAGTGGCTCATCGTCATCACCATCACGTGGTGATGACGATGTGTCCATGTGTAGTGACTGTGGATGTCACTGTGGTGATGTTGATGTGTCCATGTGTAGTGACTGTGGATGTCACTGTGTATTGATGTGTCCATGTGTAGTGACTGTGGATGTCACTGTGGTGATGTTGATGTGTCCATGTGTAGTGGCTGTGGATGTCACTGTGTGGTGATGTGTCCATGTGTAGTGACTGTGGATGTCACTGTGGTGATGTTGATGTGTCCATGTGTAGTGACTGTGGATGTCACTGTGTGGTGATGTTGATGTGTCCATGTGTAGTGACTGTGGATGTCACTGTGGTGATGTTGATGTGTCCATGTGTAGTGACTGTGGATGTCACTGTGTGGTGATGTGTCCATGTGTAGTGACTGTGGATGTCACTGTGGTGATGTTGATGTGTCCATGTGTAGTGACTGTGGATGTCACTGTGTGGTGATGTGTCCATGTGTAGTGACTGTGGATGTCACTGTGGTGATGTTGATGTGTCCATGTGTAGTGACTGTGGATGTCACTGTGTGGTGATGTTGATGTGTCCATGTGTAGTGACTGTGGATGTCACTGTGTGGTGATGTTGATGTGTCCATGTGTAGTGACTGTGGATGTCACTGTGGTGATGTTGATGTGTCCATGTGTAGTGACTGTGGTGGTGTTGATGTGTCCATGTGTAGTGACTGTGGATGTCACTGTGGTGATGTTGATGTGTCCATGTGTAGTGACTGTGGTGATGGTGATGTGTCCATGTGTAGTGACTGTGGATGTCACTGTGTGGTGATGTGTCCATGTGTAGTGACTGTGGATGTCACTGTGGTGGTGTTGATGTGTCCATGTGTAGTGACTGTGGATGTCACTGTGGTGATGTGTCCATGTGTAGTGACTGTGGATGTCACTGTGTGGTGATGTTGATGTGTCCATGTGTAGTGACTGTGGATGTCACTGTGGTGATGTGTCCATGTGTAGTGACTGTGGTGATGGTGATGTGTCCATGTGTAGTGACTGTGGTGGTGTTGATGTGTCCATGTGTAGTGACTGTGGATGTCACTGTGGTGATGTTGATGTGTCCATGTGTAGTGACTGTGGATGTCACTGTGTGGTGATGTGTCCATGTGTAGTGACTGTGGATGTCACTGTGGTGATGTTGATGTGTCCATGTGTAGTGACTGTGGATGTCACTGTGTGGTGATGTGTCCATGTGTAGTGACTGTGGATGTCACTGTGTGGTGATGTGTCCATGTGTAGTGACTGTCACTGTGGTGGTGTTGATGTGTCCATGTGTAGTGACTGTGGATGTCACTGTGTGGTGATGTTGATGTGTCCATGTGTAGTGACTGTGGATGTCACTGTGTGGTGATGACGATGTGTCCATGTGTAGTGACTGTGGATGTCACTGTGGTGATGTTGATGTGTCCATGTGTAGTGACTGTGGATGTCACTGTGTGGTGGTGTTGATGTGTCCATGTGTAGTGACTGTGGATGTCACTGTGTGGTGGTGGTGATGTGTCCATGTGTAGTGACTGTGGATGTCACTGTGTGGTGATGTGTCCATGTGTAGTGACTGTGGATGTCACTGTGTGGTGGTGTGTCCATGTGTAGTGACTGTGGATGTCACTGTGTGGTGATGTGTCCATGTGTAGTGACTGTGGATGTCACTGTGTGGTGGTGTGTCCATGTGTAGTGACTGTGGATGTCACTGTGTGGTGGTGTGTCCATGTGTAGTGACTGTGGATGTCACTGTGTGGTGATGGTGATGTGTCCATGTGTAGTGACTGTGGATGTCATTGTGGTGATGTTGATGTGTCCATGTGTAGTGACTGTGGATGTCACCGTGTGGTGATGACGATGTGTCCATGTGTAGTGACTGTGGATGTCACTGCGTGGTGATGTTGATGTGTCCATGTGGATGGAGGGCTTGGGGGAGCCGGGGGTGGGTGGTTAGGGATGGGGGGTCCCTGAGAAAAATCCACGCGACGACAGGTGGGAAAGCGAGAAACACGCAGACTCCAAATATACAGCAGCAGACATTGTCAGGGTCGGGATCGAACCCATGATCTCCTGTATACAAGGCGAGGTAGTCAACATCTCCTAGCCACCGTGATGATAGACACGCAAACTCCAAATATACAGGCGTCAGGGTCTGGATCGAACCCATGACCTCCGGTATACAAGGCGAGGTAGTCAACATCTCCTAGCCACCGTGGCGAGATGTTAACAACCCGCCTCCAGCCCACGCAGCCAATGACCTCCGCACCTGATGGGTTCGGGTGCCGACGTCTTCCTGCTGCTCGATTCGAGACCGGAATCTGGCGGATTGCTTCACTCTGCTGGCAAATCGCCCGATGATCGCCGGTTGATGTAGTCATGGACCGCAACGTCACGGCACTCCTCAAATTGTAAACATTGTGGATTTACTCTCCAACACACCGGTGTGCTGAAGTAGTTCCCACCAAACCGAGCAGCCTCATCAGGTGACTCAGCAAAACTCCAACTATTTTATTCATCCAACCGGAGAGAGAAAGTGAGGTGAGAGCAAGCGAGCGAGCGAGCGAGAGACAGAGAGACGGTGCTGGAATAGATCGGCACCATCTCAATTCCTGCTGGAGTCTGCGGGGACAAAAAAAAAAAGAAGAGCGTCATAGCTCAACGGATTCCCCTCCAGCCCGGTCCAAAATAACAACTCCCGTTCCAAGATGCGGGCCCCGACACGTCCGAACGGCGATCGCAAGCGCACGACGCGGAATCTCGGCCCCCGCGGGTTCTTTCAAATGTTTATTTTTTTTGTTCAACCTGTTAATTTTGTTTTTCAATCTGTCGATTTGTTTTGCAGCGCGTGAATTGTGAAGCTGTGCGCAGAGCTGAGAGTGTAGAGCGTCGGCGAGGGTGTGCGTCGTGGTGTGGTGTGTGTGTAGCTCGGTGTGTGTGTGTGTGTGTAGCTCGGTGCGTGGTAGTGTGTGCGCGTGTGTATGTTGAACTCCTTTCGCACCGTACGTAGACCGACCGTGCTGCTAATGAACAAACATCGGTGCTGTGAGAGGCTGCTGTGGTGTGTGAGAGGCTGTGGTGTGTGAGAGGCTGTGGTGAGGTTGTGGTGAAGTTGTGGTGAGGCTGTGGTGAGAGGCTGTGGTGTGTGAGAGGCTGTGGTGTGTGAGAGGCTGTGGTGAGAGGCTGTGGTGAGGTTGAGGTGAGGTTGTAGTGAGGCTGTGGTGAGAGGCTGTGGTGAGGTTGTGGTGAGGGTGTGGTGTGTGAGAGGCTGTGGTGAGAGGCTGTGGTGAGATTGTGGTGTGTGAGAGGTTGTGGTGAGGTTGTGGTGAGAGGCTGTGGTGACAGGCTGTGGTGAGGCTGTGGTGAGAGGTTGTGGTGAGGTTGTGGTGTGCGAGAGGCTATGGTGAGAGGTTGTGATGAGAGGTTGTGGTGAGAGGTTGTGGTGAGGCTGTGGTGAGACTGTGGTGTGTGAGAGGCTGTGGTGAGGTGGTGGTGAGGCTGTGGTGTGCGAGAGGCTGTGGTGAGAGGCTGTGGTGAGAGGTTGTGGTGAGAGGTTGTGGTGAAAGGTTGTGGTGAGAGGTTGTGGTGAGAGGTTGTGGTGAGATGTTGTGGTGAGGCTGTGGTGAGGTTGTGGTGTGCGAGCGCTTGTGGTGAGATTGTGGTGTGTGAGCGGCTGTGGTGAGAGGCTGTGGTGAGAGGCTGTGGTGAGAGGCTGTGGTGAGAGGCTGTGGTGAGAGGTTGTGGTGAGGTTGTGGTGAGGTTGTGGTGAGAGGCTGTGGTGTGTGAGAGGCTGTGGTGTGTGAGAGGCTGTGGTGAGGTGGTGGTGAGGCTGTGGTGTGCGAGAGGCTGTGGTGTGCGAGAGGCTGTGGTGTGCGAGAGGCTGTGGTGAGAGGCTGTGGTGAGAGGCTGTGGTGAGAGGCTGTGGTGAGAGGCTGTGGTGAGAGGCTGTGGTGAGAGGCTGTGGTGAGAGGCTGTGGTGAGAGGCTGCGGTGTGTCAGCGGCCGGTGTGCGGTGGTGCGAGTGACAGCACGGCGCGTCCCCGGCGTCTTCACCACGGCGTCGTCATGGGCTGTGGGTTCTGGAGGTACGACATCACCACCGCCGAAATGGACAGCCTGCCAAAAGCAACAAACGTCGTCACCGTCACCGCCATCGGCGTTGAACATTCGTAACGCGCTCCACCCGGCCATTCCACCCCGACGTTCGCTCCTGCACGTCCGTGAAAAAGAGCTTCATAAGCTCACTGGATGTCCTCCAGCGTCAATAAAGATTCCGAAAAATGTTTTTTCGTGCGCTCGCCCAACAATGGGCAGTGACGTCGCCAAGGTGCCTGTGACAGGCTAGGTGCACCGCTCACAATCGGGAGCGGTGTTTTCCCATCGGGGAAAGCCCACAAATGTCGATTTGAAGCTTTCGTGACTGCAAGGATTCATCTTATAGGAATAGGTTTTTACCCTTTTAACTGGCACAAAAACTGACACCTTTATTCAAGGCATCATGTTTGCAATAACCACAACACAAGCAGTCAAAATGCAAACAAAAAAGACAACTCTGATAATAATAATTGGCACTGTCCTTGAATTTGATTGGTCCACACCCGAGACGGCTTTGCTTAGAGCCCAGTCTCCACTGGTGTTGGACCAGAAGACGCCAAAAAAGTGTCAGTTTTTGTGCCAGTTAAAAGGGTAAAACCTATTCCTATATCTTGTTACTGGCAAAGGAGGTCTCATAATGTAAAAGGATTCATCTTCTCCGGTTCTTTCGGTAAAGTCACCACCACGTAGAATGAGGATGAAATAATAGAATAAAATGAGACAATAAAATTCTCATGGTGCAGCTCGGTACACGGGGCGGCGCACCTTGGCTGGATTAATTAGTGTTTTGGATTAATTAGTGTTTTGGATTCATTAGTGTTTTGGATTAATTAGTGTTTGTTCCCACCAGCACCCCCCCCTCCCTCCTCTGCCCCGGGTCGGGGCTGGTAACGTGCTCATCCAACTCCGCCCACACAGCCTTAATAAGGCTCAGTCTTGGCGTGACGGGAGCCCACTCGGGCTCTGTCTCCTGGGTAGGCTCTGTTTCTTCACCCGAGGAAGGCCGCTTGTGTCGTGGCCGAAACGTCGTGGGAATTTCATCGTCTTATTTCATTTTATCATTTCGTTATAATTCTACGTGACTTTACCGAAAGAAGCAAAGAAGAAGAAAAAAAAGCCCACAAAGCTAAGAAGCTCTTTGTGTTCATGGGCGGTGGACAAGATGGGGAGGCATTCCACAATGGCAGATTTAAAATAAATAAATCGAGCTTCGCGAGAAAGATAGAAAAAAAAAGAGCTAGCAAAATCACGTTCAAAAAATTACATTCCCGCTTATCAGCGCGTCGTTTGAACCGTCAGTTTCAACGGGGGCGGAGACGGGCTGAATGGAGATGGCAAGGGACGGGAAACGTGGCGGTTACCAAAGACGGCGGCAGCTACACTGGATGCTCTCGGTCCAAAAGGAGAGCGCGAGATGTGGGAATTGTAGACGTCAGCGAGTGTCCAACGGTGGCGACAATGAAAGAGGTAGCGAAGGCTCGCCCCGCTGCTGGCGAGAGATCGCTCGACGTTACCCCAGGTGTCACCCGCTGACCGACTGAGACGACTGGCAGAAGCAGCAGCTGCACTCCCCCACTGGCGAGATGTCAACTACCTCGCCCGGTATGCAGGAGGTCGTGGGTTCGATCCCGACCCTGACGCCTGCTGTGTATTTGGAGTTTGCGCGTCTCTCTCTCTCTCTAATCATCATCACGGTGGCTCGGTGATGTTAACTACCTCGCCCGGTATGCAGGAGGTCGTGGGTTCGATCCCGACCCTGACGCCTGCTGTGAATTTCGAGTTTGCGTGTCTCTCTCTCTCTCTCTCTCCCCGTGGTCACGTGAAATTTTCCCTGGGGTACTCCGGTATTTCCCTCCGCATGAACAATCAACGTCACACGTTCAGAGTATTTGCCCGATGTAAATGCACACACGGTGAGAAGCCACTTCGTTCAGGGTCGCTTCTGAAAAAGAGCGACAGAGCTCAGTAGGGCCTTACCTGGTAAAATAAAAATAGTTTAGGTTACTCTATGGGTCTGTATGTGTGTATCTCTAAGGGTCTGTATGTATCTCTATGGGTCTGTATGTGTGTATCTCTAAGGGTCTGTATGTGTATCTCTAAGGGTCTGTATGTATCTCTATGGGTCTGTAAGTGTGTATCTCTAAGGGTCTGTATGTATCTCTATGGGTCTGTGTGTATCTCTATGGGTCTGTATGTATCTCTATGGGTCTGTATGTGTGTATCTCTATGGGTCTGTATGTGTGTATCTCTAAGGGTCTGTATGTATCTCTATGGGTCTGTATGTGTGTATCTCCATGGGTCTGTATGTATCTCTATGGGTCTGTATGTATCTCTATGGGTCTGTATGTGTGTATCTCTAAGGGTCTGTATGTATCTCTATGGTCTGTATGTATCTCTATGGGTCTGTATGTGTATCTCTAAGGGTCTGTATGTATCTCTATGGGTCTGTATGTGTATCTCTAAGGGTCTGTATGTATCTCTATGGGTCTGTATGTGTATCTCTAAGGGTCTGTATGTATCTCTATGGGTCTGTATGTGTATCTCTATGAGTCTGTATGTATCTCTATGGGTCTGTATGTGTACCTCTAAGGGTCTGTATGTATCTCTATGGTCTGTATGTATCTCTAAGGGTGTGTATGTATCTGTATGGGTATGTGTGTATCTCTAAGGGTCTGTATGTGCATCTCTATGGGTCTGTATGTATCTCTATGGGTCTATATGTATCTCTATGGGTCTGTATTTGTATCTCTATGGGTCTGTATGTATCTCTATGGGTCTGTATGTATCTCTATGGGTCTGTATGTATCTCTATGGGTCTGTATGTATCTCTAAGGGTCTTATGTATCTCTATGGGTCTGTATGTGTATCTCTAAGGGTCTGTATGTATCTCTATGGGTATGTATTTATCTCTATGGGTCTGTATGTATCTCTATGGGTCTGTATGTGTATCTCTATGGGTCTATATGTGTATCTCTATGGGTCTGTATGGATCTCTATGGGTCTGTATGTGTACCTCTAAGGGTCTGTATGTAACTCTATGGGTCTCTATGTATCTCTATGGGTCTGTATGTGTATCTCTAAGGGTCTGTATGTGTACCTCTAAGGGTCTGTATGTAACTCTATGGGTCTGTAT